TGGTTCAGCTGCTGGTTTGATTCTCCCATCATCCTGGTATTGTGTGGTTTGGATGTCCGCATCACAGTCAGTAAATTCTCTATAAATTTTGGAAACAATTACTAATCTACCAAAAATGATATTGAATAAATTTAATTTTTGTAGACTTTCAAGTTAGGATGAAACTACGGATCTGATGTTATTGAACTCAGCACTAGGATTGCACAATATCCCAATCACGGGTTGCTGCCTCACAATTGCTCGAAGCTCATCATCGGTAAAGTTTGTGAGATATGCAAAGTCATCTACCCTAAGCGTATGAATTTGTAGGGAATATATATGAATAAATTTATCATCTAACAATTTTAAAATTTAAAACTAATTAAACGAGATATATACTTACATTCTTTGGATGGTTGCATTCAAACTTTCTAGCCGCACTGTTGTCATGGGTTTTCGGTGGACATTGACTCGCAGTACAGAGTCCGAGGTTCTTTGCAAAAGAGAAGGCTCTCTTTATGTTTTGGATACAATCCAATGACTTGTATTTTACGTTATTAACGACATGTTGTAAAAATAGCTCGTTTATAATGTTTAAGAATTTGAAATGTAACCTTTTAAAAGGTTTGGAATGACACACCAAAATCTTTATCCGAAAAAGCTCTTTTGAGAATCACTTTTCGTACAATATTTGAGAATAATTTTTGGTAGATTACTCTTCTCCAAACAACTCATCAGAATTCTTTATCAATCAAAACAAAAACTAAACACTACAAGTCTATTTATAACAAGAAGCAAAAGTCTCAATTAGGTTAAAACACAAAATCCATATATTAAAAAAAAAAAAAAAAAAAAAACCAGACTCAGACAATTATTGGACTTAAAAACTCTAATGTGTCTAACCAGGCAAGGATGCATTTCATCGATTTGTCACTTTGTCTCTCACACTTGCAATGATAATTATAAAACCATCGTAGTAAATTAGATATTTAGTTAAAACATATTTTAGAAATATGTGGATTGATGAAAAATAGAACAAAATATGTGGATTAATATGTGGATTGATACTAGGGATGAATTAATTTTTTACTATATTTCATATCGCATAAGGAAAAATAGAATAAAATATGTGGATTAATACTAGGGATGAATTTAATTTTATTAATGTTCATAAACTTTGTATTTTACTATGTCTTTTCATAATAATGCATAAAAAGAGAAAAAAAAAAAAAAGCAAAACAAAAGCAAAACAAAAGCAAAAAATCTTGGATTAATAATAGAAAATAATTTATTAGCAAAAAAAGAGTAGAGAATAATACGTATCCAGAAACTTTTGGTTCATCACAAGAGTCTCTCCAATCCCAAGAAGAAAGCTACATGTTTAATCATATTGGTTTTGAATTGTAAAATATCAGAATAAATTAATACTATGAGAGAGTGAATGAACAGTGAAAAAGAAGGTACAAATGACAAGCTAATTCTTTTATTTGTTAAAAAAAACTCATAAGTAAACAAAAATTCATTGTTTTGAGGACATTTGTGTTTTAATTAGTTGATACTGGCATACTGCCGTTGTCCTCCTAATTAAAAGCATTCTAATGTAAGAGTATAAATTTCACTTACAATATTCTAACATGTATATAAGATACTGCACCATGATTTCTGTTCTGATAGATTAAGTCAAATATATTAACCTCTTACAATGTTTAATTTTGTAATTTAAAAACATTTATAACAAAGAAACTTAAAACAACATTTATTATACAACAATTTTTTGGTTATAAAACGACACTTAAACTAAAACGGAAGGAGCATAAAAATTAATCAAAGTCACGGTTAATTCATTACGACATGTAATCGATCACAACCTAAAATTTGATTTTATGGCTGAGTATTGTATACGATTTGACCTGACAACCGAGTATAATGTTGCGATGATGACTCGACGGCAGATATAATGTTGTTATTTTGAAGATTTGTCCAATCTTACACGTGTTACCACATACAAATTTGTCGGAGTAGTAGAAAAATACATATTGTATCACTGCGATAAAGAAAATCTAATAATAATTTTCTCTAAACACTTTGTATTTTTACTTTCATCAATTTACCATAAAGCAATGCATATTTTTTCCCCGATTTGCCAAAAAAATTGTGGACTTCTTATCATCCTTCAACGATATTCAAGCTGGAGACGAACTCCATTACTTCAGGGTTAATAACATTTATAACAAAGACATATATGAATGACTTGCAATGAGGCCATGGGCTGCTCGTATCGTGTATGTCCGGCCTTGTTATGGACTTAAGTCTTATAAGTTAACTTTTACGTTTTTTTAACAAAACAATTTTTTATTGGGTATGTGAACATTCAAAATATTATTGTGTAACAAAATACGACAAATGTCAATTAAACAAGATACCGCAAAAAGAAAGAAAAAAATTGTTATAGGATGGGACGAAGTAGTCAGTTCAATCGAGACTACGTACCTTACCTACAAGTTGATGTTTTATAATTAACATACAATCCACGTACGGGACTCTAAACTATATAATATATCATTTTTAGAAATAAATTTAGCGAATGCGTAAGGATAGTACATATTAGATGATATCATGATGTATATATCTAATTATCTATATATAAACTAATTTTATTCAACCGATGATTCTAGTAGACTAGCTAGTAGTAGCCAAGTCACTATCCATGAAAAAATAAAATCCAATGATACATGCATTCGAACCGACCTCGATAGACACTGAAATCGAATCAATTCACCTAAATTGAAATGACTTTTGCCTAATTAAAAAAAAAAACAATCTTCAAATTTTATATAGAACTCAGACCGAACCGAAAAAGTTATAAATCTAGCTCTACATACAACCCATTCATCCACATTATAACTCAAGCCGAATCATCCTCATAATGCATTAAAGGAAAAGTCACAATCTATGAAAATGAAATTTTCTGAGTGAATCACATAAAGTCCATATATGTATTATTTGTTCGTTATCCATCGTTATAGTAAATGATGCAATGGGCGACCCATGTGGGTGTAGGTGTAGCAACTAGCCAGTTACAAGCAAGTGTGCAATAACTTTTAACAAAATTTATATTCAATAAAAATAAAAATCTGAGAGACGTGCATGTAGCTATGAGTGGACCAATTTTTATAGTAATATAATTTCAAAATATGTTTCTAAGAAATCAAAGTCAACCGTAAAAGGTCGGCCTTGCAGCTAGCATCCCACGCGATATCGTCGACTCCACATTTTGAGTAAATGATCTCTTCTGTACTATATTAATTTCAAAGATGAAAAATTAAATTTAGAAATTAGGTTTTAGTCATTGCATTTTAACTTAAGTTACCTCTCTACATCCATATCCTACACTTTCTACATAAATAAAGCATCAACAATACATCCACATTTTTAATGTTCAAATTATCTTAGATAATTTCATCAACAGTTTAATAGCACTACCCCTAGTGGCTTAGTCGCAGACTCGCAGCTAAAGCTAAATATATTAAGACTGTTTTGCAAACACTCGAACAAATTTTAATTGATTTTACTACTTGTAGTTTTGGTACCCACTTAATTCGAATAAACAAATAAAATCGAAAACTGGTGTGTTCCACGTAATCACACTATGCAATGACATCGTATATCTCGACATAACTTTATCTTTGCGTCCCCTACATCAATAATTACAGTATTATGAAATAGAGAAAGAATTTGCCCAAAGAAAATTCACCGATTCATCGCTCCTCATCTTCATATTAGTTACCTATTTCTTAAAGAGCGTATATAAACATGCCAACCGATTTTTGTAATTGTATGTTTAATACTACTATATACGTGGTTTACCATTACCGGGTTAGATTTTTTTTTTGCCTCTTTTCCAAATTGCATAATATTATTATAAAAATTGGTATATCATACTGTCTCAACTCAACCAACATAACAGAAAAACCATTTACATACTATAGTACAAGTTAAAAGTAGCTCAGCTCAAGAATCATTAATTCGAGACCAAACCAAGAAACACTAAAGTCAAGCTGGAAAAATTATACACGTAAAACATGTGTAAATAATACAGAGTTAGTAACTTGTTATTTGTAAGCTTTAGAGAGAAAAAACGTGTTGAAATGAGTGGTTTAAACACAAATTTATGTTATGATGGGTCGGGTCTCTTGTGAGACAATAATTTTGGAACTTAATATGATTTAACAGTAAGATGAGCCCTACACATAAGTACATAACTTTCTCCAGTCAAAGACAGAGCATCTCTATTTTACTTGTTTCCACTTTCCAGCTCTTTTCCATCACATTCTGCCAGCATTCGAAGATGCTTTGATATTAACAGTATACATAATTCATACTATGCGTGACAGTTATATATAGGAGTGATTTTATGCCCAAAAAATCTAGAATTTCTTTGTGCCAAGACCGAAACTTAACATATTTTTAGTCTTGTAGGATAAAGTCGGATCTTGAAATTCGGTCGTAATCAATTGATATCAACCAACAATGAAATGTATAAAATGTCAAAAAATAATTGGTCCCACACGTTCCCAATTCCAAAGGAAACAAATCAAACTGTGTACGTATTTTTATGTATGATGAAAAGTTTGCATTAACGTGTAGTGATTAACACGGAGTCATCATCAACAACTGGTTTACTACCTAAGTACCTAGTCTGATTAATAATTAGCTGTTCTTGTAAAATTGTAATCCACACAAAGTACTAAAAATATCACTTCCATAAATTTAACATGGACGAAATATGAATAGAAGAAAATAAGAGAAAAATAAATAAAAACCACGTGCGTCTCATGTGAACACATTAACTCTAAATATTTCCGACGTTTCCATAATCAAAACAAAAACAATTTAAAAAGACCAAATATATATAACAGTCAAAAAGTTTGCAAAAGAAGGAAAAAATAAATAAACGCAAACCTCAACCAAAAAAAAAATCCAAATATAAATATACTCCTTTTGCTCATTGCTCCTTCCGACAACACCAACATATAATTTCACAACCCAAAAAAATGGAGTTACTAACGACCGTCGCGAGCTTCTTCACTCCGACGACTCTCTTCCTCCTCCTCAATCTTATGATTGGCACAATCGTCGTAACCTCTCGACTCGGGTCGGGTTCAAGAAAGCATTACCAGCATCACGATGGGTTCGGGTCAGGTCATGCACCGGCTCCTCCGTTAGCTAGAGCTCCGTCGATTATCGACCGAGTCAAGTCCATCAACTTTCATCTCTACAAATTTCCTCATCCTGAAACTGAGCTTTTTTCGATGACGGCTCACCATGACGTAATCGGTTCGGATCTTCATGTATACCCGGATCCGAATCCAGCTCCGTTACAACGTGCTCCTTCTCTTTTGGATCGGGTCAAATCCATCAACATGTCTTATTTCAAGTTCCCACACGACGTAACCGGGTCGGATCCTCACTCCCACACTCACTTAGATCCACACCCGGATCCGGCTCCGGTACCGTTACAACGTGCTCCTTCTCTTCTGGAACGGGTCAAATCCATCGACATGTCATACTTCAAATTCCAGCAGTATAACCCGGAGGAAAAAGATTATGCTCATCACAAAGAACCGACCCGGATGGGTCGGGTTGACCCGATTGATATCTCAAAATTCAGAATCCCGGAGGAAGATCAACCAACTGGAACCGGAATCAATCATCCAATTGATCCACCCGGTTTAACTCGGGCTCCGTCTATCTTAGAACGGGTCAAATCCATTAAGCTATCCTCCTTCTACAGATCCGACCCGGAATTGGATCAAAATCCGGATCCGGTTCTTCACGAAGAGCACAAACACGTAAGGAGCAAATCGGAATCGAAAAAACCGGTGAAGAAGAAGAAGAAAGCTTCAACGAAGATGACGAAATCAGCGAGTGAGAAATCAGGTTTTGGTTTCACCGGAAGCCATGAGGAAGCAGCAGAGACGGTGGAATCCGTCGAACGGAGAAGACCAGATACAACAAGAGTCGAAAGATCGACGTCGTTCGGCGACGGCGAAGATGGCGTCGACGCAAAAGCTTCAGATTTCATCAACAAATTCAAACAGCAGTTGAAATTACAGAGACTCGATTCGATTCTGAGGTACAAGGAGATGCTCAAAGCCAATTGAATGATCAAAATTACTTAAATTCCCCAGCGGTGAAAATTATATTCCTCGCCGCCGTCTCCGTCGCGGTTTTGTTTGCCGACGTTTTTCACAGAGGAGAGAGTACAGGAGTAGAGAATGTCTGAATAACCGATAGTGCCCCTGTATGTTGAGGATATTTAAGTAATTTATCAATTAGTTAATGTGAATTATTATTGTTTAGTTCATAAGAGACAAGAAAAAAAAACGTAGTTGCTTAGCGAAGAATGTGTGGCGTTAAAATAGGATCTGGGACGTTGTTTTGCGTCTAAATTCTAATGTTACATTCATTCACTTGGCTATTTTTTCGAGATGTTTAGTACACGTTTCCTAGATTCTGCCCTATTTTCAGGTTGGTTTATTCGTGCCATAATATTTTAGGGTAAATCATCTTCGAAATTTCTGTATAACATGCGAAATGTTCTGTTAAGAGTTCTATTTAAAAATTTTTTTATACATATACTTCCTAATATGTATCACATTTTAAGATTATACGTGAAACTGTTAACAAAAAGATTATAAGCGAACTGACCAATATTATAATTCAATTTATGACATTACACATAAACATAATGTCCACAAAAAATACTTTGCAACACAAATAAAATGAAACTATGTTGATCATTTCCCCTTATAAATGATGTTAGGGGAGCTATTATTAACTTGCTTTTTCTATAAGCAAATTAAAGCAAAATATCATTATCACTCTTCGCCGCACAATATCAAAAAAAATATCTTGTAATGTTTATACTTTTATAAGGTTGAGCTTAAGAACATTAAATAATTCATTTAATACATATGTATATACAAATTACCGAACGTAATGTTCACCGAATAGATTATTGAAATCCGATAATATCAGATACTGTTTCAAAACTTCAATTTTGTATAACTTAAGACTACAAAAAGCAACGTTCGAGACTTAAGTAGAAAATTAAAACCAAAAAAAAAAATATATTTGATTATGTCTAAGTCACGAGTTGAAATCACATTTTAACGTTCTGGAAACAACGCAATGAAAAAATGTCATCAATCAGTTCTATTTGTTTTTTAAAACTATAAGTTACGTGTCCAAGCACTTGATTTAGTAGATTATTATTTGAGAAATCCTGAGGACTATGTATTAATCATCTATCCGGTCTTATTGGTGCTTCTGGCGTTTACAGGTTCTATAGGGAAGCTTTGTGAGTGTCTTTCGTGCCTTTGTTCAATTATAGTGCTTAGATTGTTCTTTCTCCATGATGTTGGGTTCTTCTTTAGATTTTGGTTTTATGTTTGGTTTTAATCAGTTTTCCTGTACTTTATGGCTTTGTTTTCCTCTTTTGGGCAAATGTTTCTGGGGACATTCATGTCGTCCGCCGGCATATGTATTTCATCTTGTAATTCTCCTTGGTTTATTAATAAAACTTCGGATGACAAAAAAAAAAATGTATTAATCATCTAATTTGTTTCATTTTTGACGTTATTATATATTCATTGACTATGGGATAGACTTTGAATTGTTTCAACAAATCAAAATTTTGTAAAATTATGCGTCGTAATAATTAGGGTTTAGAATTCAAGTGATCCGAATCAAATCTATCCAACCATTCTTGGCCACGAAATTAAGACCTAGAATCTTTTATGTTTTACTCGTGGCTCGAAAAAGACTTTTTCGGTCATTTCGTGTTTAAATTAATCCTCACCATAATCATCACATTCATCCCTATCTCTTTAGGTTACGTTTAAAAAAAAAAAGAAAGACAATGTCAAACTTTCAATTCAACTTCGATTTCTTCTCCGACTTTCTTAAAGAGATATTTATATTTATATTTCTCCTCTCGCAATCGCATAATACAATTACTTTTAAAATCCTCCACTCATTCTCAAGTTTAAACATGACAAAAATGAAAACATATTTCACTATAAATAAACTATGTTGTTTATCAAATCATCAAAGTCTGGGTGGTGTAGTCGGTTATCACGCTAGTCTCACACACTAGAGGTCCCCGGTTCGAACCCGGGCTCAGACAATCCTTATTTTTTTAATTCCATTGTTTTTCGAACTGCCTATATTCATAGTAACGGGCCGACAACATAAGGCCCAATTATAACAGAGTTAGAAAAAGCTAAGCCATAGCCCATTTCACTTACGTACACTTTAAGCCTTTCAACCCTAAATACCGTTGTTTGATAGGAAAGAGGACAGAAAAAGGATCGCTTGGGTACAATACAAAACTGTACCAGGAATAAAACCAAGACCGGTACGAAAATGTCGGGACGTCCGGTTACGTCATATTCCCGGTTCTCGATGTTTGTTAGATTTTGTGGGCCTACACATTGGAAAGCTGAGAAGATAATAATATTCGATCGGACATTCATAGGCCGGATTACGTACACTCTCCCACTTGACGACTTTAGAGACCTCTTAAAAGATAATACGTCACCGTATCAAAGAATCTATCACGAAATTTCTTGTTTGACGAAACAAATCAAAGAACAAAAATGTTCAAATTTAAGTTCAACTATATAATTAATAAAGGTGTGAAAAAATGAACTTAGCCAATAAGGTTAGCTTTTAATTTGAATATTTATTTTATAGTATTTCTAGAACCATATGTTTTGATTGATGGCATATGTCTCTCAAACGACGAATCGACGATAAAACCAAAAATAATAATTAACCGACTGAACTTATCAAAGTTAAAATTATAATTTTTCCAAATTTCAAGATTAGACATTTCATTGTTTTTTACGATAAGATCTTAGTTTGTGAGAAAGTTTATCGTACCAAAATCAATCATGCACGTCCGTCAAAAGAAATTAGAAAACAAAAAAGATAGGAGAGATCGAAAGATATGAATAATGGCAGAGAATCCAAGTGATTTTGTTTTGTTTCATAGAAAAGAGCTGTGAGGAAATTTCCAAGATCTTGGACCCACCTTCAAGATTCCTTTATAACCATTTTCTTCGAAATCTTACCTGTTTTATCTCTAAGACACTTTGATTTGGTCGAAGATCGAGTTGATCTTGTCGTAGGCTCCTGCCAATGTCCAATTAATGTCACATTCTCTTCCGACAGATTTCACTATCGTATAAAGCATGTCCTACGTGTCTCGTCTTTATCATGTCCATCACTGTTTAATTGTATCCGTCTACAAAGACTATATGTCATTTGTTGTATGTGTAATGTGTTATGTATGTATTTTCGTGGATGTACACGATACATTTCAGATTCAGACACCCCATGTTAAGCATTGTTTATTCGTTGACTGGGATATGAAACAATACTTTTCCGTGAGAATTATCGTTGGAGTCAATGGTTTTAGTCCGATATTTGGTTTCTTGTTAATCGAGAGATGTATGTAATGATTTAGAATCAATAGTTTAGCCAAGTTAACCATAAGTTTTCAGGGCTTTGAAATCAGACATACATCACGCTATCCGAAACAGTATCAACATTATGCTTGAGATATTGATGATTTAGAGTATATACTAGTAGTACAAAATCTTAAGCCATCGCTACTTTTCCAACAAAGACTAACCACACCAATTATATTCGACCAACCATTACACTAACCACACAATAATTATGTATCTTCATCAGTTTTATGAAATCATATCCAAAGCCTATACAACATAAAATATGTGCGAACAACCATATTATGTTTATAATTTTAAATATAGAAATCTGAATATTATCTGTTGCCTTATATAAAAATATAAGTTATTAGATATCTCGACTTTTAAATGGATATTTTGCTATAAACCATTTCAATGAAAACTATGTACAACGAAGAAGTGGTCCACTATACTTACGAAGATCTGCATGAATCTCCTTAGTCCCCACTTTCACTTTCCTTTTTCCTTTTATTACCAAACCAAATTATTATAATCGTATGGACTAAATTACCACATCCACATCACATTTTAAGTATGTTACTTCACAACTCTGTTTCTTCTTGTTTCTCGAAACTCGTAATTAATATAGATTTTCCTATCACCAGTTAAGAAATTCAAATCATCAATCAATGACTTTCACCAATATGTAGATCACATGCTCGCTCTAGCATGAAACTCATATATTTTCAGTTTTGTATCTTGATCAATATTATGTCTATATTAATGAAATATCAATTCTTAAAATTTATATATAAGAAGTTTTGAATTTTTAGATGCTATCTTACACACTTCCACATCACTCTGAATTTTTAGCTCTCCGTTTTATTATTATTATTATTATTATTATTATTTTTTTTTTTTTTTTCCGTTTTAGTAGTTACATTTCTCTATCTACAACTAAAAATGCATATGCGTATACCTTTATTTCTGAGATACGTATAACGTTTTGGTTACGTGTATCAATACTTGCTTTTGTATGTATCATCGTCAACTTTTGGTCGGCTGTGATTATAAATGTTGAAAACGTGGTTGTCTACACTGATGCATTCATTAATCTGTCACGTAATCCATATCATTGCTTCTTTTCTTGTGTTTTTGTGGCTCAGCACAACTTTCATTAATTAACCATATCGTTGCTTAGTTCCACTCCCACTTACTAATGCAAGTATACTTATCAAAATTCTAATCTAAATTTGATTCTAATATTACTATTGCAAGTACTAATATAAAAGATAATATGAATCTCAAAAGATTCAATGAATGATGTTATAATACGACGCATATAACAATCTATTTATCTACAAAATTTCACTAACATGAGAACATGCATAGTCTATATATGTGTTTCTTGTATAGAGTGTCTCTATAGCTACACATGAATATACATGTATTATTATTTTTATTATAATAACACTAAGTATTTGGTTAATTTTTTCGATAAATTAGTTTCCTGCACACGGTCAGTTTTTAATTATTTATCAGATACAAAAGTTTCCAACCAAATAGTTAAAATGATTTTTTTTGCTCACGCCCGAAAGAAATTAAACCCCCTAAAGGAAGCTATAAATTTACTTAGATCGCAATAACATTTGCCAATTATGAGATTTCATTTTTTTCGCCAACCCATTTATCAAGAAAAGTACATTACTTATGAGGTGCTGCGCACATGCGTCTTGAATCTTATAATGATGAATGGATAATATAAACGTAGGGAACATATATGGAGCATGATGATGCATGGCCAAATAAAGGTTTAAGACAACTCAAATAGTACTTATTTAATTAAATTTAAAGAGATACGAATATAACAAAATGTGCCCACGAATTGAAATCATTACCCTAATTAATTCCTTCTTTTTCTCTCCAATCCAGTTCCATTATTACAAACGAATACAGCTCAACTAAATTTTAATGACTTGTCTCTTTATATATAGAGATAACTATCTTCTTCTTTTTTCTTCTTTTTTTTTTTTTTTTTTTACAATTACAATATAATAGTAAAATTGAAGTAAAGGTCGCTGACAGTAAAAAGAAAAACAATTGAGTGAAGATCTTTTAAATTTGCAAGTTCCAATTACGGGGCCACCTTATTGGGGGTCATAATGAACATGTATGCCATTTTTTTTTTTTTTTTTGAATGCCATTTTCATTTATAAATATATTGTTTTGCACCGTTAATCAATTGTCGTTTTGTTCATTGGCCACACTTTATTTTCTTAAATCATCGTTCGTAAATTATTTTCGCGACATGAAGTTGTAAAGAAGGAAAGAAAATGACAACTACACGTGCGTTTAGCACGGTTTTGCTGTCCGGCTACAACGTTTTTTTGTTTATCTTATACATAGAATACTTAAAGTTTCGAATGGTTACAGACTTACAGTGGCTGTAACGGTTTTGCTGTCCGGCTACAACGTTTTTTAAAAGTGTATTTTTTGCTTATTTTTATCCTTTTTTAAACCCGTGAGAACCTAATAAAATCTTTGAATGAGGATGTCGATAAATGATATCTACGAATAAAATGTGTGATCAAATCGAATTATCTCGAATTGAACGAAACAATTCAGCATTTCAATTCCCACTGAGCTCATCTATTTGTATTACTCTTAATTATATTATGTCTAATCTTGTTATAAACAGATTTTTAAACTATATATCTTGTTATATACTCCATCCGTTTTGTTTTAGTTGTCGTATAAGGTTTTTTCATACAAATTAAAAAAAACATTAAATTTTCTGTTTTACCTTTTAATAATAAATTTTATAAAAAAATTTATTTGCCAAAACATTAAAACAGTAGGGATAAAACTAGAATTTTCACTAAACATTTGCATTGAAAACCTAAAACGACAACTATTGTGAAACAAAATTTAAATTCTACGACTAAACTGAAACGGAGGGAGTAATTGCTTAAGTCATAAGAGTAATAAATAAAAAAAATTGCAGCGACAACAAGTTAACATGTGGCAAAAGAAGCAAACAGAACAAAATCTTGAGGATATTCCATGTCTTGCTTTTTATTGTTTATTTACGGCACAATGATTAATTACGAATCTACGAAGTTTGGCCTACGATTATTAATTTATTAGAATTATCGGCACTTTTCGATAGTCGCGAGGAAGGAAATTTTATAAATTATTCAGACCGCAGAGGAAGCAGATCTTGTAGATTCTTTTGATGATGACCTAATTGTGACAAAAAAAACATCATCTAGTAGGGAATGAGATTTTTTTTTGAAAAAGAACATTAATATATGTAAAGTATTATAGGTCAGATTGTTTACAATAAGATGGTAACAAGATCTTCAACAGGTAGGAAGAAGAAAATAAAACTAGCTGGTGTTGTTGCAGTTTACATACTATGTATTAAGTTTTTCATTAAATAAAACCAGAAAGTTATATTAAAAAAAAAAAGTGTAAACCCAGTTACTCAGACGTCTTCTTGTTATTATTCTAAAAACAATATTTACTCATGTACATATGGAAGAATTCGAGTCATTTTTAAGTCTCACCAACAAAATAAAAAACCTAGCCAAGTTCTAATATAAGTGTGATCAATCCAAGGGTCAGGATTTGTTGTCCGTGGGGAAATATTGTACATGGTGATCTAAGGCCAATCTCCAATCCCCATGATGATTATGGTACATGTTCATTAATTCTTTTTGCTATTTACAACTAATTACCGTTATGGTGGTGGTGGGGATGATGACACATTACAATATTATGTTGGTTTTATCTATTATGTCAGTTAATCAATTAATTAGTTTCATCTACAATAGTAATTCTTGATAAACATTGATTACTCTATATAATTTTTGAAACCTTAATATGAATGCTATTTTAAATTTCTTAAACTGCATGCAGAAGCTCTTTTTGTCACAAAGTGAGAAATTATTACAGTAATTCTATAATAAATGTAGTATTAGTAATGTACAAATGGACCATGGAATATTTTTGCAAACCATTTGACTAGTGAGCGACACCGTGCATGTTCAGACAGTTACAGCTATCACTTTTGGGGTCTTTGAAACCAGTGGTTTGCTAATTAGATTCTCACGTGACTGTGGTAATTCATTGTAGAGTTTTGTAATAGATTAATAAAACATGAAGATTGAATGTATATATATATATATATATATCGTGTACTTATATCATTTATTCATACTCTTTTAAATACGGAATTAATAGAATTATTATATCAGCTATCTACTTTAATCGGGTCAACTGAATTAAGTATTTATTTAAAGGAATATGCATTCAATAAGTTCTTTTTTTTTTTTTTTTTTTTTTGTCATCTGAAATTAATTAGAGCTCAAAAGAGCCATTCCTGAGGAATGTTGTTTACAAATGTGATATGAAGCGGTTCTGTACGAATTTTTCGTGCCAGATGATCCGCTTTTACATTAGCATTGCGAGAAATTAAAGATAAAGAGAAGGATGAGAATTCTTCCTTGTCGCTCTGGAATTCCTCCAAGTACACTGAAAACGCCGGCCATTCGGTTGGAGAATACGCCATTCAATAAGTTCTTAGTATAAAGAAAATAAAATTTAGTTAAAACAACATAATTTTTTTCAAATAATTAAATCTCTTCAATGAATTAGTTACTATATAATACAGTCATACAGAGAAGATACTAGCTCGCTCACTGATTTTTAATTATTTTTATAAAAAAAATTACACAAACTAAAAAAAAAAAAAAACGTACAATACATGTGTCTCGACTCTCCATGCGTGTCTATAAATATATACAGCTACTACTACTCTTCATTGATAAGAATCAAGCTAAGTGTTCATAAAAATAAAAGATTTATTTCTCATAAAAAAAAATGGCGAGTTATAATTTTCTTTCACAAGTTCATCTTATAGTAATAACAATATTAATCATCATTACTCTTTTAACTCCGATCACAACCAACACATCACCACAACCATGGAATATCCTTTCTCGCAACAACTTCGCCGGAAAGCTAACCACCGCCTCCTCCTCCGTCGAATCAGCCGCCACAGATTTCGGCCACGTCACCAAAATCTTCCCTTCCGCCGTCTTAAACCCTTCGTCCGTTGAAGACATCACAGATCTCATAAAACTCTCTTATGACTCTCAATCTTCTTTTCCTTTAGCTGCTCGTGGTCACGGACACAGCCACCGTGGTCAAGCCTCGGCTAAAGACGGAGTTGTGGTCAACATGCGGTCCATGGTAAACCGGGATCGAGGCATCAAGGTGTCTAGGACCGGTTTATACGTTGACGTGGACGCTGCGTGGCTATGGATTGAGGTGTTGAATAAAACGTTGGAGTTAGGGTTAACGCCGGTTTCTTGGACGGATTATTTGTATTTAACGGTCGGTGGGACGTTATCTAACGGCGGAATTAGTGGACAAACGTTTCGGTACGGTCCACAGATCACTAATGTTCTAGAGATGGATGTTATTACTGGTACGTACCATGATGATTTGTTTTCACACGTAAAGATAAAAATACAGTAATAGTGATTTTAACTTCGTCCGTTTCTGATACCAAAAAGAAAACAAAAAAACTTCGTACGTTTTTTCGTCTTTTTCATTTTAGATCTGCGCTGCCATTTTTGGTTATGCTCTTGTTTTGTTTGTCTCTTTGTATTTATTTAATTTCTCGAACTTGTTGATAGCTTTTCTTCTTTTCACACATCAATCTAATCAACTTTTTTGGTCTAAGATTAGGAAAAAAGATACGGCCTAGGTAAAAAATAAGTGGCTGTAAACATAGATGCTTTTTTTTTTTTTTTGATAACCAAAATTGGTGGTTGGTCTAAGATTATAAACATGCACATATTAATGCAAAGGTCGATCTAGCAATAGAAGGTGTTTCAGCAATAGCATATGTCATCATTAAAATCGTGAAATAACGAAATTTTGGTAGAATATGTGTAGTTATAGTATATAGTTTTGTTGAAACACGAAAAAAAATCTGATTTTCCGATCGAATATGTGAACACTATTTATTTACAAACACATTATATTAAAATTTTAACTGACTAAAATGTTTTTTGAAAATTTAATTTTTGTAATTTCTTACTCGCATTATGAAAACTTAGTGGAATCTAATAAGTCTGATTTCTGCGAAATTTACATGGTCATATATTTATATAACTGTTCATAAAACTCGGTGAACAAACAAACAACAACAAAATTGACCAAAAAAAATGAAAAAATGGTCCCACGCGCATGATTTTACACGAGGTTTCTTGTGGCATAAGGACAAGTGTCCACAGTCCACATATGCATCCATATAAATTACACTGTTGGTCTCAAGTGTAGATAGTTTACGAAGACTTTCTACTTCCATTGTTTGGTTAGGAGATAAACATAATTTAATGAGACCGACTTTAGCACTTTAGGCTCAAAACAACGATAGTTTTATTTCAAACTCGTTGTTGCATTGTTGTATCATTTATTATTTATGATGTATATTCTTTACATAACGGTCCAAATTTGTTGAAATAGTTTACTAAACTTTCCTAATGGGGTCAAATTTTATTTTAAAGGAAAAGGAGAGACTGCAACTTGTTCCAAAGACATGAACTCGGATCTTTTCTTCGCCGTGTTAGGAGGTTTGGGTCAATTCGGAATTATTACAAGAGCCAGAATTAAACTCGAAGTAGCTCCAAAAAGGGTATGCTAAATTTGTAAATTATGCAATAATTTTATTTATGTAAACTACAGAAAATTCTATGAAATTTATGACTGAACATATATGCATTTTTGTATTTTTGCAGGCCAAGTGGTTAAGGTTTCTTTACATAGATTTCTCCGAATTCACAAGAGATCAAGAGCGATTGATATCGAAAACGGACGGTGTAGATTTCTTGGAAGGTTCCGTAATGGTGGACCATGGTCCACCGGATAACTGGAGATCCACGTATTATCCACCGTCCGATCACCTGAGGATTGCCTCAATGGTCAACCGGCATCGTGTCATCTACTGCCTTGAAGTCGTCAAGTATTACGACGAAACTTCTCAATACACAGTCAACGAGGTCCGTACATACATACAATCATAAATCATACATATATAATTGAGAGATCTTTATGCATTATTAACTATTAATTATTAAGACTAATTTAATTTAGGTATTTAAATTATGCAGGAAATGGAGGAGTTAAGCGAGAGTTTGAACTATGTAAGAGGGTTTATGTACGAGAAAGATGTGACGTATATGGATTTCTTAAACCGTGTTCGAACCGGAGAGCTAAACCTGAAATCTAAAGGCCAATGGGATGTTCCACATCCATGGCTTAATCTCTTCGTACCCAAATCTCAAATCTCCAAATTTGATGATGGTGTTTTCAAGGGTATTATCCTAAGAAATAACATCACTACCGGTCCCGTTCTTGTTTATCCTATGAATCGCAACAAGTAAGTTAAACTCGATATTGCGAATTTACCATCTACATTTTAATTTTTGGATCAAAAATATTTTTACTAACTAATTTTTTGCGGTGTTTGTAGGTGGAATGATCGAATGTCTGCCGCTATACCCGAGGAAGATGTATTTTATGCGGTAGGATTTTTAAGATCTGCGGGTTTTGACAATTGGGAGGCTTATGAACAAGAAAATATGGAAATATTAAAGTTTTGTGAGGATGGTAATATGGGGGTTATACAATATCTTCCTTATCATTCATCACAAGAAGGATGGGTTAGACATTTTGGTCCGAGGTGGGATATTTTCGTAGAGAGAAAATACAAATATGATCCCAAAATGATATTATCACCGGGACAAAATATATTTCAATAATTAAACTCGAGTTAGAATCCTATTGTTGTTGGTCGTTCTCATCAGTCATCACTTTGTAAATATTTCATTTCTTTGTTATATCGATTTTTGACAGAAATATAATAGTAGTGTGCAAAACATATACCACAGTTTCCACGTGAATAAATTCAAAAACTTAACATATATTTTGGTGGAAGATTTTTGGCTAATGCTAGTAAGAAAATGGAAATTGATAGGAAAGTAAAGGACATGATCATAAGATTCGAAAGTAAGTCTAAATGTGAAAACTATCTTTTTTGTAAAGAAAATGTTGACATACATATAATACATTTTGGAATAACAAATAATTATGTCCAAGAAATGTCCCCAAACCTTTTTGTTACAGTATGCGGGAAAGAAGGAGACATCCACACTTCTTGCCTCCTTTCTGTTTTTATTTTCTTGGCTTAATTTTTAATATATTTTTTAATATGTACTTTGAAGATCTTGGTCGAACGAAGTCCACGTATAATTGGTTGCAGTGCCGGCTCAACATTTTTATGGGCCCTAGGGCAAAAAAAAATTTTGGACTCTTAAAAATTTTTTTTAATGTTTTTTTGTTGTAAAAAAAATTTATATGCTATTTTGTTAAAAATATTAATTATTAATACTAAAAACAATAAATAAAAATTTTTATAGACCTTTATAAATTTTATTTATATGTTATAATCTAATTTTTAATATTTTTTAAAAATATTTTAAAAAATGGGCCCCTTAATTATTGGACCACGGGATTGGACCCCTGGCCGTCGCACCGCCCGCCCACCCATCTGAGCCGGCACTGATTGGTTGGATTAGAATCAGATTTTTTAAAAAATTCTGATTTTCTTGACGTCGGATATGTTGCGTTAAGATTAATTATCAATTTCTGTGTTAAGATAACAAGATTAATCTATATTTACATAACTTGTATATTTAGAAAATATTTTCGTTAGTGTATAGAAAAATAAAAACATTAGTGCATATTGTTGATTGACTATGTATTGTCAATTTAACTTAAAAACATTTATATAAAACTATTCCATTAAATCAAGAAAACGACAAAAACGTCGTGAAAAGTGGAAAGCATATGATGAAAGTTGCAGCCGCTAGCTTTGTGATCCGAAGGAATCTCCAACCTAATTTTTAATAGATAGTATGAAAGTACCAAATATTTAAATAGTATAATGTATCTGTATATATAATTATATTACAATTTAAACATTATATTATGTGAAAAAGTCGGAACAATTAGAGATTGCTACCTATTTATTTTTTATTGCAAAATCTCATTGCATCATTACCAAAAATATAATCATGAGATTCCCTTGTATATTTCATCCTTTTCGTGTAATTACCATCCCAAAATTTATAGTATGATTTTATATTACTTAATAGTAATATAAATTAAAATAAAAAACTAAATGTGAAAATTATAAGTAAAAAACAAATTTTATTTTTGTGTGGTCAAACCGAAAAACCACATACAATACGATTTTACTCACTTCGTTTGTTTAGGAAAGATGCTTAGAAGAAAAAGATGTTTCAAATTTTCATGTGAATTTGGAAAATATTAGTTAATGGGCCTCTAATGTCCAGCCCAAATATCAAACGTCGAGCTCTGGGCCTCAGAGCACACTACGTGCTGTTTTCTCAATATTAACGTCACGCTGTTCGTTATCAGACATGCAAAACGATAGAAAGCAAAGCAAGTGGCAAATTGTGCCGATGCGTCATAGACTTATAGTCAAGCAGTTGACCGTTCTCAATATTTAAAACTGATTTTCTCCTGCGTGTATTTAAATACAAAAAAACCCTCTTATTTTATCTTTGCTGTTGTAATATTTTAGATATAGTTTAATACATTTATAATACTGAATGTTCTAAAATCGACTAAGAAAAATAACCCCCACCGTCAAATGCGTGATGTCATTATTATGTTTATACGTAGAGATCACTAACATTAATTAACGAGACAACATGCAGGTCGAATATTAAGCTTAATTATTAAGAAATTATCATGAAAACTGTTTTTTTTTGAAAAAATATCATTAGTTTTGGTTCATATTGGTGTGTCAAAGTCCAAGTGCATGAGATGAACGAGTCTTGTCGTAATGTGAAGAAACATGCATTTAATTTACTCGTCAAGAGAAATTCTTTCAATTTTAGCTTTTTGTAAATTAATTGATACAACTTGCTTAAAAGCATTTCGTGGTCGGGGAAACTCTTAAATTTGTACGATCGAATTTTTCGACCAACCAAATGTGGTTGTGAAAACGTTCCACCAGTTTTATTTTTTTCCTTATGTACACATGATTAATCAATAAAATCGCAAATGGTATGTACCACATGCCAAAAAAGTAAACATAAAACAAAATTGATATGTATCACAATAAATATAAATCCAATTAATCACTTCTTCATTATTAATTTCAAATCGTTATGGTCCACACGTACGTACGAATCAACAATTTTATTTTTTTTATTGTTGAGTCACATACTAATCAATGTTTTAATTTTTTTTTTTTGAAATATAAAATAATTTTCTTATGTATAAAGAAAATAAAATTAGAATTTTCTTGTTGTTATCTTTCATTGGATTCTATAATTGGAGATGCCTAACTTGTAAGAAATGTTTTTTTTTTTTCAAAGTTTGAAGTTATAACAATGGAAAAATCAAATTAAATATAATAATAATTTAAGTTGTCATATCGTCTTTTTGTTCCAAACCAAGATTTGATTTTTGCTGGACATATCTACTTCCCGGATAAATTAAAATGAACATTGAAATTGTAAATTCCGAAAAACAGTCTGAATCATGTTTTGGATTTCTGCAATTATATATAGGAACAATGGATATTTATCAACCAGAACCATATACTTGAGAAAAACAGTTACAAGTTCTAGAAGCTTTTGAATTTTTGCTATATTATATTAGGTAGGATTGTATGTATATTCTGGGCACTTGGCAGGAGGACACATAATATTAGTATTAAAATATCTACGAAGCTTTTTTTTTATATAAAATATAATATATTTGATTTTGCCACAAAAAATATGTAGAAAGTTAATTCTAGAGGCGATCGATGCATGTAACAAGGAATATTGGAATATATATATTAGCAGGAAAGAACGAGAATGGCATGAACTACATAAAAATCACATGATTATACTTTTTGTGGTAATAGGAAAGATTCTTCAACAATCGACAAATATTTATTGTACTCGGTAATCTGTACGATCTTTTTTAATTTCAATGGCCATTGATAAATAATCAGTACTTATTAAGAATTACAGAAATCCCGCGACGTCGTTTTAGGCCACTCTTGTTGACATGGATATTATTTATTCATGGTGGATTTAAATAGAAACAAAACTTTTTCTTGGAATTTTTTACGAAACTACTATAGCAACACTTGAATTAACAAAATAAATTATTAAATATAATCCTTCCACAAATATTCTTTTACTAACTCAAGCAACATTTACATAGTTTTTATGGGAACCGTTAATAATAAGATTATTTGATAGGTGTTAAAAAAAAAAAAAAAAGATTATTTGATAGGTTTGATCAAAATAAGAGAATAATTGAATTTGCCATCCTCTCTTGACCGTTTTTCAAACCTTTGTACCCTTTGACTTTGACTCTCTCTTTCTCAAAATCTCTCATGCATTCTCTCTCTTTTGGCTGCTTCTTCTCTCTACTTTTCTTAACTTTAATATTTTTCTTTAGTTTTTGAAATAAGAAAATAAAAATATGGAACGAATAATTTTCCCTCCCTCCATCTCTCTCTCTGGTTATCACAGAAGCTAAGCAATGAGGCTTTAATCATCTCCTCTTCTTTCTTCATCTTCAATTCTCAAAATCTTCTGTTGTGTTGGGAGAAAGTCGTCACACGTGTCATCTTTCTATATGGATGCATTTTTCTTAACGGAAGATCCTAATACTCGAAAACAGTTAATCGGGTCACTAGCTCAATCTTTCGGATGTGTTTACGTTTGTCTTTGGTCTTATTATTTCCCTCGACCCTCTAAGTAATAATCATATCTTTCTCATTCTTGATAATACATATACACATTAAACTGTTTTCACATATATGTTCATTCTCTATAGTGTACATTTTTTTTTATTAATCTCATGATGCATTTGATTTTGAGCTGCAGCTATTTAATATCAATGGATGGATATTACAATGAAACTTCTGAAGAACCTTCTTCTTCTTCTTCTTCTGGAAGTTTAGCTAGAAGCTTGTTCCATGAGTATCGCCAATCCGTTATCCCACTCCAAAATGGGTAAGAATATTGTTCATCAATTCAAGTCACACATGCAATGTTTATGTTCTTGAATATATAATCAAAAATGTTAATTTCAGGCATGTACCAAGCATGGCGTTCATGAACAATCTTCCATACGTAGAAATTCGACCACAAGAGATTCAAAGACTTGCTTTTAACGACGCTCAACGTCTATTCTATCAGGTCATTATATCATTACAATCACCACTACAACACCGTTTTTATTTCAAATTTATCTGTTATGATTTTTATTATGATATTCACTAACAATCAATTCTTCATCTCTTTTCATTATTGGTCGCAGGAAGCCAGGATTCAGGTACAATATTTCATTTTCATTAATATATATTTCAACAAAATGTAATTAATACATGTAAATTTAATGTTATAAATGTGTTATGGATCAGACGGTGGTATTCATGGGTTGCCGGAGCGGCGAGATCGAACTCGGAATGACATATGATGCTACAAATGTATGAATCTTTTTTTTTTAATTTTATAAAACCATAGGCATTTATTAATTTACTTAAAGATTTTTAAATATATGTCTCTGTCTTTATCTAAAATCTCTATATGTCATTGACTCAAGAACAGATGAAAATAGAAGCAAGTCTTCGAGAATGGTTCCCTGAAGATTTCAATAGAAAGTCTTCTCCGGTAAACTCCGACTATCTTCGGCCACCGCATCATCCATCTTCATCTTCTTCTTCTCTTAGTCCCAACAACGTCTCTGAATATTCCTCTCTTTTATTCCCACTCATCCCTAAACCTTCAACGACGACTGAACCCGTTAACGTTCCGGTACTTCCACCCTTAGCTCCGGTCAATATGATCCATCTACAACAACAAGAGCCTTTGTTCCGAAACCGTGAACGTGAGGAAGAAGCAATGACAAAAGCTATCTTAGCGGTTTTAACGGGGCCATCAAGTCCTCCGTCTACTTCTTCCTCGCCGCAGCATAAAGGAAGAGCCGCCACCGCTTTTAAGAGATATTACTCCATGATTAGTGGTCGCGGTAGAGCGCCGCTACCGAGTGTACGGAAGCAAAGTATGATGAAAAGAGCGATTTCCTTCTACAATAGGCTTAACATTTACCAGAGAGAACGTTTTACTAGGGAAAACGCTACTACACACGGCGAAGGAAGCGGTGGAAGCAGCGGGGGTGGACGTTATACCAGCGGGCCAAGCGCAACGCAATTGCATCATATGATATCGGAGAGGAGACGGCGAGAGAAGCTTAACGAGAGCTTTCAAGCATTGAGATCTCTCCTTCCTCCGGGAACTAAGGCATGTGATTTAATATTTTTTTTTCATGAATCATAAGTTCCTTATATACTATGATATTCAACTCATTAATCTATATCCTAGATTTGATAAGCTGGATCTTTTTCTATAAACACTTGGCCATATGATTGTTTCTTTTCAATAATATAGTTATAATATCTTAAAAAGATAGCTTACTTAGTTTTCATTATTACATATATTTCATATGCTATATCAGATTGTACAATGATATATATTTGAGCTAATATAATGACTGAATATTTTTGAACAGAAAGATAAAGCATCGGTCCTCTCCATTGCAAGAGAGCAACTATCTTCTTTGCAAGGCGAGATTTCGAAACTACTAGAAAGAAACCGGAAGCTAGAGGCGAAGCTAGCCGGAGAAAGAGATATTAAAAATGATTTACTACCCAATGAGAGGTTTAACGTTCATATAAGTCATATATCCGAATCAACATCAAGAGAGAGGATTTTGGATCTCAGAGTTGTTCTAAGAGGAGACAGCATTAGGGTTGATGATTTGATGATAAGACTTCTTGAATTCTTGAAGCAAATCAACAATGTGAGCTTAGTATCAATTCAAGCTCGAACTCGAGATAGGGATACTTCGGTTGTTCTTGTGAGCTTAAGGCTCAAGATTGAGGTAAAGTAACATCTTGATTTTAATTATTAATTTGGTTTCTGTTAAGGGAACACATTATTTGAGATTTTTATTGATTAGTTAAGGTTGGCATAGACAGTATATATGTGATAATATGTAGTACATATAATATACCAAAAAGGAAATTTTGCTATATTTACTAAATTTGTATTTAACAATTTAGTGGGTTTTATTGAAGGCGTCGGTCGCATTGGTTGGTGGATTTTATTGGTGTGTTATCTCTCATCCACATAAATTAATTTGATAGAGTATATAAAAATAAATTATTTGATAAGATAAGTAGATAGCCACTAGTTTGATCTTGACTATAAAAGGTTTATTAGTCGTTTCGAATAAAACAAACGTATAAAGTTATGGAATTATTTTATTATTTTTGTAGGGTGAATGGGACGAATCAGCCTTCCAAGAAGCAGTCAGAAGGGTTGTTGCTGACTTGGCTCACTGACAACATGTTTGATTATATTCTTCTTTTACGATTACAAAATTAATATTTGATTATTGAAAGATTAAATTATTTATGGACATTGGACAGTCTATTTTATTACTATGGCGTGTGGCGGCTCCTATCGTTGTCGATGGTTCTTATTACTGTGGAATTTTTCAGCCGTTCGTCATATTTCCTGAATCAATATTGACCGTTTGTTTTTATTCATTTTTTAGCTATTACCGTAATTTTGTTATAAGCAATATTTGTCCTCTATACACAATTGTTTTTGGGACATCATCTCTTTATACAAATTGATGCTAGTTTCTTCTTTGCTGTAAAAATTATTGTCGTGTATTTGTTTAAATTCCTTTAGAGTTTTATGATTAATGGGTCGTATAATATGGTAGTCAATAATTGTACTTGTTTCTCCATAACACTTCAACTTGTATTAGATATATACGATGTATATTTAAAAATACGATCCAAGTCATCCAGCTAAAATATAAAAATACTAGAAGTTTATGTCACGATATATATAATCTTTCATAAATTCATGTGGCTAGGTTTAAATTTCTTCTGTCGCCCAAATTGACTGAACTTTTCTTGCTAAATGGAAAAACCAAACGACAAGGATATCTATAGATAAAAGAAAATGAATACTCAAGAGCTTGGAGACAGCGATGGTTTTTTTGCCAAACAATATATTGATGGTTACATTAATTAATGAAGTTACCTAGTAGTTACCTTCCAAATTCAAATCATTTCCCTTTTTAGATATGTGGTTCATTCCAACGTAGGGGCATTCATTATGTATCAAATTACATGAAAGTTTATGAAGTGTCGGTTTGATATTTTACAAGAAGTGTTGTTTAGCATTTGTTCTGCAATTTAAATAATTCATTATTGTAAATAAGTACGTAAATTTATATTTAAATGAAGGTTCTTAATATTAGAAAAGAATAAAGGATTATTTTCTTCTTAATAAATGTAGAAAGTAAAGAACAATCCTTAACTAAAAACTGAGAATACATATTTATCAAAATTTTAATGTTATTATGTAAATATTCAAAAAAATCAAATGGATTTGAAAGGTATATCATGTAATTTGAATGTTATCCTTGTTGTGTTTATTTTTTTGGGTATTATGAAAGACTAACCATACAAGATTGAGAAATTAGTTCTTTCTCTTCTCTAAAGTTGTCATCTACTGTTCAATAATTTTGGACTTTTTTGCCCCTATTTTCAATATTTTTTTTTCTCTTTCATGTTTGTGTTACATGTCTGTGAAGAAAATGAAAAAGTTGCAGATAATGAAATTTGTTGGACCGCCAACGACGTCCATCGTTCTGTCTCTCTTTTCATTTTTTTCTGAGACTCATGACAGTGCCAACGATGAACTCGAGACCAGCTCCGCCGAGATGGTGTCTTGACCCATGTGTTCGCCAACGATGAACTCGAGACTAGTTCCGCCGAGACGGTGCTTGACCCATGTGTTCGCCAACGTGAATTCGAGACTAGCTCTGCCGAGACGGTGCCTTAACCCATGTGTTCGCCAACGACTAATTGAAATTATTGTGGTTGTTGTGGAATCAAGATAGGGGAATGGGTATTGTCGACGACAATTGAATGGATTAAGCTAAGGAGATCAAGATCTTGACGAAATTATGCAATGAGGAATTTACCAATTGGAGTTTTGATGAGGTTAACCGATCAAGATAGGGGAATGGGTATCGTCGACGGCAACGACATTGTCACATTCTTCTGGGTTCGATTCTGCAACGGATAACAATTTAATTAGCAACGTATATAAAATGCTAACATATCTTAAACACAACAATTATATTATCATGATAAATGAATATGCTAATATATAAGTTAACGGAAAAAAATAAATTATTAAAGTAAATAAACAGTTTTAATACATAAATTAGTTGATATAATCATATAATAAATGTATTAACACGGTAAATGTTAGTTTACCACGTAACTTGCAAACTTATCGCGGTATAATATGATTTATCATGTTAATCATGTAAGAGAAATACTAATCCTTTTTATTGAATTGATATATAAATAAATGAAAAATACTAATTACAAATTTAAATCGATAAACATCCATTTAACAAATAATATGTACACTTACAGTGATAGCAATTTAAGATTAAGGAAATTGTCAAGAAAACGAGTGTGGGTCTAAGTGTCACAAAACAAAAAGTTGGGGCAATTTGCAGAGAATTCAGACCTGAGAATTTTGGAAGACGGCATTTTTGACCCAATTTAAGATTAAGGAAGAATCTTCTAGGGAAACCTTCTCCCGTACTAACTCGCAAAGCTACTTTTTTTTTTTTTTTTTTTTTTTTTTTTTTTTGCAAAGCTACTTTTTACTAATTAGGCTATTAAATTAACATTTTCATGATCTTATAACTGCATTTTTTTATTTAGTTGGTGCAAAGATACACTGCATTTTTAAGACTATATTAAACTTAAACACGTGGAACTTTGAAGATTATGCTTCTAGACACTTAATGATGTAAAGAATGTTGACTCTTTTCTATGGAAAAAAGTGACAAATTCAAAAGCTTAGTTAAAATGTCTTGAAACATTGTATCATATAGTATAACATAGTCTTACCAAAATAGGTACATTATATCGCTTTCATTGTTATGAATCCACTCACTATATATAGTATACATATGATTTTTTTTTATCGCACTATATGATATCGGCAATTAAATATGGCTAATTATTAAACGGGATGATCTGGCCCAATAATTCAAACATCTTAATTGCTCATTTACTGCATATTTTTCTTCTAAATGAACTCTCTATCTTAAACATTTTAAGCATTTTGTTTTGTTAATTGCAAAGGTAAATATCAAACAAAAATAGAATGATGCGTTTGGTGTTTACATTTGCACTATATAAACATATCTTATATTTTGAAAATAATTGTTTACTTTTCTTTTTATACTTTAAAACTATTACCGTTTTGTATCACCAGTTCGATATATTTGTAAAAATCCAGTTCGTTTGAAAATTGGAACTTGATCAATAATATCAAACTAAAGTGATGAATAATTGTCCACGCGAGCCTTTTTGATTAGTATCCATTGATTGAATTATTTGACTTACACATACATTTGCCAAAAGAGAGTGATTTTGATTATTTAAATTTTAAATGTTAAGTAGTTTCCCTGTTTCAGTCATTTTTTGGTTAGGTTGTGTCTTTTGAGGGAACATAACTTTATAGGCGGCTATTATTACTACAAACATTTGGATAAAACCCTACATGCCTTAATTTTTTTTGGCTAATTCGTGCTATTAAAAAAGTATCATATTAATTTACAACCCATCTTGTATAAACTTTAATATTTGGGTTATGGTCTATAGTTTGGGATTACCTTAATATCAATATTAAACATCTAATAAATTGAAGTATTAGATTCAAATTCAGATCAAATTAGCAAATAAAGGAAAATTTAACTAATTGATAAATCATGCTTTCTAAAAGAAAAAAAAAGCACGCGTAAATAATACATAACATTTTGAAACCCTCAAGAATTTAGGTATTTTTTTTTTTTTTTTTTAACATCAAATCATAACTTTATTAATGTGAACCAAATATTACATTGTTAAAACATAAGGGTATGAACACAATCAAATAGATTTGTAACGAAAAAGCAAAAAAGTTCAAGCGCCGCAATCCGAATGATATGCTTAGTTGCTTTCGTCGTATCCGTCAATCTTGTGTGACTCTCTAGCTTGGGAAACATCTTCTTTTTATCGATGCACCATCTTTTACGCTTTCGAAAGTCAAAGTCTGCGATCCATCCGTTACATCGCAAGACCCTAGATTTGGGAACTCTCCTGAAGAAAGAGATATGAAGTTTTGTGATTGTAGCGTAAACCCATACTTGTTGTTGATCTGATCTTCTGACTCGCATCATAATCGCATCTCCATCCTCCGTTGTGGGTTGATTCCATGGCGGTTTTCGTGGTGGTCGTTGTCTCATTAACAAATCCAAAGAGATTTGTATCAACCATCGAAAAGCCACGAAACAGTGGTCTTCGGAGACTACCATAAAACTAACAAAATATGTTAGTTTCGATAAAAACTCGGTAATACATACCGGATATGCCTCGGCGACTTCGCCGGAAAAGACCTTCACCACGGAGGACCGGATGAGACATGGTATATAGACTTGAGACTCCCGCAAAACGGTTCCTTTTTCATCGACCAGAGGTATTACCGTCCCATGAGACGGGTTCGCTTCTGCCTTCGGATCTGATATCCACTTGACATGAAAGTGGTGAATGTTTGTCGCCGGTGTAAGCACGAACACGGATAAAGTCACCATCCGAAGGAAAACCATAGATCGGAAGAGATACCGGTGGAAGAAAGTGTCGCCCATCGAAAGAAACAGAGACAGAAAGTAGAACAAAACTAAATAAATAGAAAGGAACCCGACCGACGCCGAAAAGTCCAGCGCCGGCCGGAGAATTTAGGTATTTTTTATATATACTTGTTTCCACGGCAATTATTTTTTTGGAATTTATTTTTATTTAGTTAAGAAATCACGTTAAAGTAGGTATTGTCTCCGCCAAGTCTCTGCTACATTCCAAACACATTGGACTAACCCTAATAGTGTCAATGCACGACAAATATTTGTAGTCAATAGTTTGATAACCTGAACAGAGGGTTATGTGAAAGTTTGTGTTGTTGAAATTATTCATTAGCACTAATTTTATTTGTATTTAACTAATAAAAAAATCTTCACAATCTTTGTGAGGACATTATTTATTACGGTGAAGCAAAGTATTCTGTATATAAAGAGTCCCTTTCGTGTGTATCTTTGATCTATACGTGTAATATTTAAATCACTCAATATAGTTGATTTATCACTAATGCTAATAATAGTAACGGTGTGTGATTAATTTGACTTTGACCATATTGAATACTAATCGACCGATTGAAAAAGAAACTACATGAAAATTATGTTCTTTCTGTTCTTTTTTTCTGGTTTACAATAAGGATAATACACTTATAAATGTCCACAGAAAACAATAATATTAATTTAAAAAATAAGTAATGAAACCAAAAGAGACTTAATCCAAGTGGTAAAAGGATAGAGATTGACGAACACACCAAAATTCCATTTAGTGATTTAAAAAAAAATGCAAAAAAAAGGCACCAAAAATAGTCACTCTTTGCCTACAGCGAAACTCCTATGAGCAGTCCTCGAAACATTTGCCTTACATGGAAGCAAAAAACCAGGCCACGAAACTTCACTCAAAACCCAAAACATTTTTTTTTTTCCTTTTCTGATTTTCGTTTCGACTTTTCGATTTCGTCTACTGTTGCTTGCATTCAGGAGGCCTCTCTCCTTGCTGATCATCGTTAAGCTGAGGTCTCCCTCCTTTCTGCAATTTGATTTCAAAAATAATATATATGAATCTATCTGATTATCACAAACATAACACACTGATTTGCAATTACCAGATTTAGCCTAAGCTTATAAATATGCATGATAAGGATTCCACAAAGCTTCATTTATTATTCTGTCTACTCATAATTCAGCTTCAGTCATATAAGTATTCAAGTTTCTTTTTGGTCAAAGTATTCAAGTTTCTATGATTCACAGATTCATGCATAATGAGCTTAATCAGTTAATTTCAGCTATCTTCCTAATTAATGGGTCATGTTCTCTCCTTTTTTGATCATAGTCTAGCCTATAAACGTCAATAGTTTATGACCGTTGTATGGTTCATTGGTGTCGGATTTTCTAATTAAGACTAATACAATAAGAAGGGAGGAAGCTGGGTATGTACCTTGTGTAAGACTGACGGCTGCATAAACATTTAACACAATATAAAAAAGTTAGTAACCAAACTCAGAAAAGGTAATTCCATGACAGGAAGAAATAAAACAAGAGGAATTCCATACCTTCTTTTTGGTCTTGCTTACTTCTTCCTCCTCATCTTCGTCGTCTTCTTCTTCCTCATCTTCGTCTTCATCTTCTTCATCCTCATCTTCATCCTCATCGATATCATCTTCATCGTCATTGTCTATTTCAAACTCCTCTCCCTCAATAGCCTCACCAGTAAACCATGAGACAGCATGAGGTATAATCTTCTCCCGGATTGTAGAACTGCAGGAAGCAAGGAATACTTGAAATCCAGATATTCAATCATTTATAAATTTACGATAAAAGATGCTAGCTAGAGCTTTTATACAGCTGGTAAAAAGATAGGCGGGAACATATTAGATTGACAGAGTTTATTATGTTCAAGAAGACGAACCCAATGTCATAATCTTGTTCCATCAGATTCTGAAGTTCCTCGGCCTGCACCAAGAACAGATAACATTACTACAAAAGTATAATCAAACATAGTCAATATAGGGCATGTCTTAAAACCAAATTATATCATACTCTTTCTTCGTCAATGTCTTCATCATCATCAGGAACTTGGGGAGGATTGAAGAAGTTGAAGAAGCTTTCACAATCTTCAGTTTTGGTAATTGGCTTGGCATTCTTTGCACCTTTCTTAGGCTTCTTCTTAAGAATCTTCTGAGTTAAGCATTTTCCAGGATACCAATCAATCTCTGTCCTGAGAGAAAGAACAAAGAAACAAAATCCAAGTTAGTGCATAGGTCAGCACAAGATTCTGCAGCTCAGAATGAAATGTGCTAAGGAACATTACAAAAAGTATTAACAGTTAGTTACCCAATAGCCTTCTCAAGCAGAGGCTCATCTTCATCAATCATATGATATGCCTTTGTTAATAGGGTGTTTTTGAAGTAAGGATTCTGGTCGAAGAAAAACTCAAGTTTGAATCCCTTTGGTTCTTCAATCTTGCACCACTTGATATCTTTAAGATATATAAGGGCTCCTTCATCACGCTCTGTGATCTGAAATCAAAGGAAATTAAAACTCTGGCCAATTCTCATGGATATGATTAGGTAACTCTAAATAAACAATCATAGTTGTAACACTAACCTCCTCCGATATAACATCATTGTTTTTCAGAGCGGTCAGCCAGAAACTAGGGACTCCTTTCTCTGCAATCCAACGCGGTGAAATAAGCAAAATATTTTTTTTAAAGAATGATTACAATTTACAAAGGCAAAGAGAGAGAGAATACCTTCTGCAGTTTTCTCATCTCCATGGTCCATCTTAGCATCCTCTGGAGCCCCTTCAACTTCAGTAGCTCCATTCACAATCTCATAACGCTGCACATTTCAGGTGTCAAGCAAGTTTCAAGAGAAATTCGAAAATAACTTTTATCTGTTTTGATTATAAACAGCTGCAAATAAAGAAAATACAGGAAAACATACACAAGCCCCCTATAACTTTTATCTGTTTTGATTAAAAAAATTCTTATTTAAATAAGAGTAATTTACCTTGGTATACAAAGGCTGATATAACTTTTGATACTTGGCTTCAAGTGCAGCTCTCTCCTCGCGGAATTTCGTCTCTATTTCATCATGTTTGCCCTAAAAACGAAAAGAATTCTCAGATAATCATCAAAAGGATGCACATTACTTTAACAAATACAACATTCATCACACTTGACTACACAACATTCTCATATAACCAAAAGCATACGAATATACATTCAACATAACATTCACAAATACCATATCAATCTACACTAATCCATCGAAAATAGCTAATATATGTAACATTAAACACAGCATAAAACATAGAGCTCATAAAATGTTAATGGAAAATTTGCCAAACCTGAATCTCCCGCAAAACCTCAACACGTCTTCTGATTTTAGGAGTCAGATTCTCGAGCACATCAGAATGTTGTCCAGCTAGATTCTGCAACTTGTTCTGTGAATCAAACACATAAAACAGTTACAAACAAATCTCCACAGAAACTATAAATCACGAAACCCCTAAATCGCATGTTCCTATAAGAGATAGAGAAACTCACCTTAAGAGCGTTGACAAGACCAGCTCGATCCTCATCTTTAAGAGCTGCAAACAAACAAAAAAGCTTTTAAAAAACTTTTTGACTAAGAAGAAGCAAAGCCCGCAGAAACAAAATCGGAGATATAGATTTACCAGCAGTGAGATCGCTGACATTGAAATTGTCCTTCTCGTTGCTCATTTTCTGGAAACTTAGAGATCAAAATTGAAAGATTTGAGAAGAAAGAGGATTGATTCAGAGAGAGTGTGTGAGGTTTGAAAAGTGGTGGAGAGATTGAGGAAGCAGAAGAAGACTTGAGGGTTTTTTTCTGGGTGGCGACTAAACGCAAAACGTGGCTTCCTCCTTTATAAAATTAAAACCTAACAACTGCCACTTTTTTTTATTTCCCTCGCTGGCATTTTTATTTTTACTTTTTCATTTCTTAATGAAATATGGAAAAAAAAAATTAAATATCCGTCGAATATGTTTTTCGTATTAGCCTATTAGTGGAAGGAAAAAAAACATATTTGATGGATATTAGACTATTAGTATTAACAAAAATTCGAAATTCGAAAAAATAAAACAAAATTCGAAACATAGATAAAATAGTAAACGGCAAAACATACGGTGAAATTTAATACCTTGAATATCTTCCAATGCAAAATATGTGCCGGTTTTGCAAAAGGCTTCTAAACATTTTGCTGTTTATCGCCAAACAAAGGAACAAGCCAAGATAAACTAGTAAAGTGTATTACACAAGATATGATCGGTAACAAAGTGAGCTTAAAAGCTATGACGACAAAAGGCTAATGAATCATGCACTCTTGTCTTCTGTATCCTCTTCCTTAGGCTGGTTATCATTGGCATTAACTGTTTTATTCTCTGCATCCACATAGCGACCAGTCATTGGATCAACCGGGCGAGTGTCTCGTGCTCCACCTTTACGTCCCATAGCCACCATTGGAGGAGGAGGAAGTAAACCAGACCTGAATAAGAGGCGTTGAACCGGGTCTGATGGCTGAGCACCAACAGATAACCAGTACCTGTACAGATCAAGAAAGGCAAACAAAATGTCCTTTAATCAAATCTGTATGCATACTCTACTGAAACTAGTCATTCAGAACAAAAACTTAGATTGTGTATGACCAGGTTCTAAGTAATCTTGGCATGTGTTCTGCTACTATTCGGACATCCTAAACATAATTTTAGATGATTCTAATACTACATGACCATAGAATTATGCAAAAGAAGTTGTATAGTGCGAACAATTAGGAATGTAAGTAAGTGTGTATACAAATAGAAAATCAACAGGTTCTTCATCTTGCAGTAATAGGAAGCAATTGCAGAACTCAGAGCAGAAGTTACATAGAAAGAATCAAGACTGGTGGAGGAGTTTCATTTGTTATATACCAATACATGTTGATGAATTTCCACAAATATTTCAGTTTTTCCGTTCTTAAATTAGTGACTAAATGGAATTCAATGAGGTAGAAAATTGCTTCAACTAATGGTTAAATAGCATGAAGAGAAAGAAAGTGATCAAAACCAACCATGGGAAACATGTACATTCATTCACCTTTCGATAACAAAAACCATTCAAGACTGAACTCATCTCCTTTGTATCAGATCAAATATAACACAATGTTGACAATATCACAATGCATTAAGATTACTAGAGGCAGCTAAAACGCTGACTTATATCTAGAGCTAACTTTAGCAATTGACCAAAACACTTCAAATGCAGAAAACCCAAAAGTAGCCTAAATCATCTAGTGAAGCATTCACCATCCAGAGACCTCTTTCTGAGTAAATTCAACCCAAAAGCTACTTGATTTTATCGGAAAAGCATAAGTAACTGGAGAATTAGATGAGAAAAAACATACTTAATTCGATCGAACTTGAGACCCATCCTCTTACCACCGTCCTGGCCTGAACACATAAACCAAGAGATGGTCTTAAAAAAAACAACAACGAAGAGAGTAATCGAAAATTCTATGAACAAACACAAAGGATACATTTTTGTTTTGTTAATCACCTGGCAAAGGATTGAAGTAACCTAAGACCTCAAGATGCTTCCCGTCTCTTGGAGATCTGCTATCAGCGGCCATAACCCTAAAAAATGGCCGATTTTTGCATCCAAATCTCGATAATCTGATCCGCACAACCATGTTTCTCCTCCCTTTCCACCAGAAAAAAAACGAAATGATCACCAAGAGAGATAGAGCGAGTGAGAGATTTCAATTTTGTTGATTTCGAAAACTCTGAATCGATAAATCTTTTAGGGTTTGGGTTCTGAATACGACGCCGTTTGTTAAAGGATTCACTAAAAGACACAGAGATATTGGGCTTCAAAAATCACGAAGCCCATTAACATCAAACATGATACAAGCCCAATGAAGATTTTTAAATCGTCCACCGCCACAAGACGGCCTTTCTCCGGCGAACGACGAGACGAAGTTGAGCATATCGGTACTGGTTGAGACTTGAAATTATTCTCCGGCGGAGACAATGGAATCTTCCGTCGCTCCGTTTCCTCACCGACGCACGCATCTGCCGAATCGAAATTATCGCTCTTTGCTTCATCACCTCTGCTCGAGTTTCGATCGTGAGCCTCGACTTTCTCTTGCTACACCGGCCGTTCTTCACGAGCTGGTCTTAAGAACAGGTCAGTGTTCGATTCGAATTAAAATTTCTTAAGAAGAGGTTAATTCATCTTCTCATAGTATGATCCTATTTCTGATGATATTTTGTGTTTTCTGATAAAGAAATCGCTCAAGCGTCTCCGGGAGAAACTTGCGAACCGCCGGAGAATTTATCAACGGTGGAATCAAAATCCAATGGAGTTTCTGGTGATTTAAGAGGTGAGAAGGTGGAAACGATTTCACAGGAAAAGAGTTTGATGCTTGGAGATGTTTTTGATGGAATTGACTTGCAAGATGCATCTGTTGGTAGTAGACACACAGATTTTTTCGATAGCTTTGAGCTTATGATAAATGAAAATCAAGACTTTGTTCCAGAGAGTTGTGTGAATCTCTTTGAGGCATTGGATGTGAATGACTATGGTGGTGATGGTATGGTTGCGTCACTGGATGATATCGCGAAACAACCGCTTGATATCGTTCAAAATGTCGTGGAGAAGCCTAATATTGCAACTGAAAGTGATAAAAAGGCAGAGGAGGTTCCTAAATCTGTTGAATCTAATGAAGTTATAAGTTCTGGAGTTTTGGAAGCTTGTGATGAAACAGTTCAAAGAGAGATGGAATTGGAGAAACCTGTTGATAGTAGTCAGGTTTTGGTAGATTCTGTGTCTCCGATAGTTGAAGATGATGATGTAGAAGAAGGAGAGATATCTGGGGATGATAATGATGATATGCTTGTAGAAGATGATGAACCAGTCGAAAGACATGAGGAGTCTAAGGTCTCACAAGATGGGATTGGTAACAGCCATCTCACAAGTCATGAGAGTTTTGGAAAAGAGCTTGGTGTTGAGGTATCGAATGTAGATAAAAGAATGGAATATTATGTTGCTTAGGTGTTTATAAAATCTGACTTGTATTTTAACTTCTTATCTACAGATGGATCCTGGAACCTCCATTAAAAAAAGGTCTGCGCCTTCTAAGGATGCAAAAGCCAGAAAGAGGGTAATGTAGTGTATGCATTTCTTTGACATATCATGGGGATATCTTGCAATCAATTTTTACTTATTGATAAGCTATTTCATGCAGGCAAAAGCTAGGAAGAAAAGAGCTAAAGAGCGTATAGCCCTTGGCGTGAAAAAGCTGAAACTGAAACCAGTAGCTCCAAAACCAAAGCCTATAAAGTATTGTCGACACTATCTCAAGGGACGGTGCCATGAGGTATGCAAAATGGCTCTGGATTCTGCATGTCTTTGGAATCTAAAATATTGTTCGCTTGTTTGCTGATGGCACTTGTTTTTCTTCTTTTGCAGGGAGATAAATGCAAATTTTCACATGATACAACACCGGAAACCAAATCTTCGGTAAGATTACTTTTCCAAGACATATACTTATTTTCTGAACTGTATACATCAGCAATCATTTTGATAAAAGTGGGATCTCTTATTCATGTCTTCTTGTTGTTTCAGCCTTGCTGCTACTTTGCAACCCAGTCATGTATGAAAGGAGATGATTGTCCTTTCGACCATGATCTCTCCAAATACCCTTGCAATAATTTCATTACTAAAGGTTTCTGCCACAGGGGTGATAGTTGTTTGTTTTCACACAAGGTAAAAAATCAATCTCGATCTTCTCGTGATTCTTCTTCCAGAGTCTAATAATTTGTTGATCTTTTGATCCTAATATACTAATCTTCAATTAACAGGGTACTCCACAATCTGCTTCAGACACACCAAGTGCCAATGTAATAGCCTCATCAACTAATATCGCTGCAGCGTCTTTCTCTCCTCAGAAAACCAATAAACAATCCGTGAGAGAGGCCATAGCCAAATTACCGGGAATCCAAGCAAGAGTTGCAAGCTCTGTTGGGTTTTTGAAGCCCTTGAGTCATTCTAACCAAAGAAACTCATCTGATGCATCATCTCCAAAGATCAATGAACTTGTAACGCCTCCACAGGTTCCTCCTTTGAGAAAACCATCCGTTGCTCCAAAGGGTATGAGTTTTCTCTCTTTAGACAAAACCTCACAAGAGGATACGGTGAAACCGTCTCCTGCGTCTAAGCCAAACGCAGACAACCCTGATAATCAGACATTGAAGCAGTCACAACCGGGAGGCTCTCTTCCTCTGGTGCCTCCAAAAGGAATCAGTTTCTTATCATTTGCATCAGAGGAACCAAAAACTCTGAATCGAGAGCCTCAAGAACCAGCAAGTAGTAGCAATGTCAAGACAACTCCTAGCTCACACATTCAAAGTTCTCTACACTCAGCCATGAAACTCGCTGCAGAATTCGAATTGGCTAAAGTTGAAAGACGCAACAATGATCCAACAGAAGCTGTATATAAGAGCAATGTTACTACTGTTAACACGACAGTCACCAGAAACTCAGGGAACATATCTTCCAAGATTCTCGAGTTCTTGTCGAGCTTTAGCCAAGGCAAAAACTGATCTTTATTTGGTTTTTAAGATAAGATGTATACTTCATGTAGATGAAACAGAGCAGTAATATTTAAAGCTTTAAGATCTCTCGTGAAATTAGTTACATTTGAATGTAATTATTGCATTGATCTATGAATTACAGAATTAGGTTTATTTTTCACTCAAACTCCAATTCTCATAATTGCACTGAAGCCCTCAAAAGTATCATACTTTATACGATTGTACTCAATATTTTGATTCCATCCATCAAGGGAAAATTCCCATTTAAGTTTATGAACTTTTCATTAATTTTGAGATTAATATAAAGTTATACATCCAGAGGTTTTTAATACTTTACATGTAAATTCACTAATTTTATTTGTTTTCTAGTTTTTAAAAAGCACACTTTAATGATTTTCTTATCTATCTATAGATGATTGGTCCACCCATACACATAGGCATTGTAAATTAATAAAAGATTTTTATAATTTATTTTATTAATTTAAATTGTGACTTTGTTATTACTAGTTCTAAAATATAATATGCATGATGGACATGAGTAAAAAATAATATTTCAAAACTATTTAAATATTAGATTACTAATAATGAGTTAGTAACCCAATACAATTTAGAATTCTTCAAAGCCAAGGCAAAGATGTGATGAAAGCTCCAAAGCTAGCTAGTGAGAGAGGGAGCTCAAGATTGTGAGCAAATGCATACGAGAACATGGTTTTGATGCATGCACTTTTTTCTCCCATAGAGACCAATATATAGTAGCATCACTTATACTTGAACCCTGTTAAAAACATAATCAAAACAAAGCCACAAATCAACAAACTAGTAGATTGAAGGAGAGTTTTAGAAATGAAAATGAAAACTCTGTATACGATGAACTACATAGGTCACTTGTATACCTTCGCTTCTTCACAACATTCTTGAAATCTTCATCATATTTTACTGCCAAACACATGTTTGTATACTCACACACATAAGTACTTTCTCGAGAAAAAGCAAACAACTAAAACATATTGAAAGCTTTTCTTGATTTTCTACTTAACACAAGACCTAAACTTTACAAAGACACAACACTTGTATATATCTTCCCTAAAACAAAAGAACAATTTAAAACAGATTGAAACCAAAACTTTCATGATTTCTACTAAACTTAAAAATAACAACAAAGGTTGAGAAATCCAACTAATTCTGAGATAATGTACCTTGTTGTTCGGGTTTTGGCCTGCAGAAGCAGTGCGCAATCTCTCTACATAAAACATTGTGGACCTTAGCTTGAAAGATCTTTGTCTGGTTATCATCATCACAAGGATCCTTGACTACAAATGTGATGAAGTAGATGTATCCGCTACCTAAGTGAACATTAACTTTCTCAACCTCAACAAACTCAAAACTCGTCCTCTGTAACATCAAACACATTATTCAAGAATGTAATGGATATGCATTACAAAACACAAAACAAATCCACATTCTAACAAAAAGTGTGACTGAGTCAGAGTTTTGTCACTTCACCTCTCTTTTGTTGTAATCCTCAATGGCTTCATTAGCTAATCTACCAAAATACTCTCTATCAGTTTCTGGTTTTTTAGTTGCATTGCTCTCATCGAGAAGCGAAGGGTAGAAATCGAAAAGGACACGGAACATTGAGAAATCGACGTCAAAGCCCTGGCTCTTCTTGATCTGATCGTTGATAAGATAAAACTCTTCATCTCTTGTGTAGTTTTGAATCATATCAACCTCTTTCCCTCTGATCTTCTCCAAGAAACGTTTCGCCTTCTTTGGTTCAGCTCCAGGAGGATACATTGAAGTGGCTAGGACACATCGGGAATCAAACGGATCACTGCAGATTTCGTAATCAATTGTCATCTTCTTGCCTTGATCAACGAAGAACGTATCAGGAACCCTAATTTTGAATTTTTGGGGAAAAAAGCCAAAACTGATTCCCTCAAACCGAACCTCTCATGTTTGGTTCGAATCGAATCGTAGTTGATATTAACACTGAAGCCCCCAAAATGTTTTTTTTATGCGATTGTACTCATTATTTTAATTTTGTTTTTCAAAACAGCCCCCCAGAAAATGTTAAAATTCGATAGTTTTTCCTTCTTAAGCTAAGGGAAAATGGAAATCCCATATAACCCATGAGAGAAAATGTAAAATTGATTCTTATTTTTGGTTAATATATCTTCGATTTATGTTAAATTGGTTTTATTTTTATCTGTCACATATTTTTACTTGTGGACATTAAGCAATGCCAAAATTTTCGAAACAATTATTTGCCAATATCTCAATATAAATGTACAGATGTGCATACGGTACTGAGAGATTGTTAAATCTCTTAATATACGTACTTGTGGTTTTCATAACCATTAATATTATGACACTGTATCAATCAGTTTCATGTTACTGTAATCTTAGGTGAGGATGAGACACATTAGCATTTGATGGGTTGCATACGATAATTGAAATAAATATCTCAAAAGCTGCATTAGCATTTGTTATAATCAATGACTATTGACTAATGTACTCGATTTTTCTTACCTTTTCTTTATTTATAAGTGTATTCTTTCAAATCTCTAACGGTCTTTAGGCTTTAGCAACTAGCTGATTTAGAAACGTTTTTAACCGGCTTATTATTTAATAATGATAATTTTATGTTCTAAAAGCTATAATCTCTAAACTAATTATTATTACAATTTTGGAAAAAATATTACTACGTTTCGCTATGGAACATAGATAACTGAGCAAAATAATTGTTGAATTTGATGTCTTTTTTTCCGCATTGAATTTGATTGATGTCTCTAATGTTGATAGTTGCAAGAAAATTGTATAGGCAAGGCAACGGACATTATGTGTTATATTTGCCGAATACAAAAAAAAAAGAAAAGAAGATGTTATATAGACTGAGGACAACGTTTTCTAGACTGAGGACTTTAAATAGGAAACACTAGTCGGTGTTAAACAGTGTGTCACCAAGGGAATGGTAATACTTTTTTCTTACAGGCCAGACCTATAATCATCAAGAAGAGCTCCAGTCCGATCAAAGACAAAAGGGACACCATCTTCAGGACCAGCTCGAAGAAAGACAACCGGTGGTTTATCTACATAACAACAAAACACAACACATTCATGAGTACTAAATTATTCAATGTTCAATCAATTCATATTGGCATTGATTAGAAAAGCAGAGACTAAAGGTGGTTTATGTTCAACTAATTCCTTGTCCTTCCCTAGTCTATTATCCAGAATTGTCATATTACCATTGTTTAGTTTGATCAGAAAAGTAAAACTCCTAGTAATCTTAGGTCAAAAAAGGTAAAACAAAAGCAAGAAGCAGTACCATAGTCATCATAAGGCATGGGAGTGGGAGGTTCCACTTCAACATAATCCATCTCTGCATGGCATAAACAAACACGAGTGAGTTAACATGAGAATAGGTAACAGGCAAAAAATCTGAAACAAAAAAACAAAAGAGATAAAAACGAAATTATCACCTTCGTCCTTGGGCTTGATCCTGAAGATGGGAATCTTAAACTCTTTTCCGCGACGCCACACTTTTACTTGATAGATTTTAGATTCAGGAGTGGATGAGGCCATATCTGTAGCCCAGAATGTTAACCAACAGAGAAGACCATTAGCAAATTTGAAATTAGCTGAGACATGCTCGACAAACACAAGTTTTGTTCCATGAGCTTCATTGTGTTTCTCAATGGCAAAGAGTGTCACATCATGGATCACGTCAGCATTGGTTCGTGTATCGCTAATAGGTGGTGAAGTCTCCAACGACCTAATATGGAACATGTAATCATATTTCCCCCAATCAACCGTGAAACCCTAGATTCCAGAAATTTCATATCAGATTTTGAATCAACCCTAACTTTCGAAGCAAGCAAGGAATCTAGAGATTGAATATTACCTCCGATTTATGGAATTCGTAGTGAAACAACAAATACTGTCGAAGATACTCATCATCTTCCACTTTTCCTAGCTTGAGCTGTTTGGAGGAAGATTTTGATCCTTCGCAAGCTTCGTGCAACTTCGGAATCTTAAGAGGGCGACAATTATCCTCCAACAAAACAGAATCCACCATGATTTGATCGGAACCCTAACGCACTTTCTCGAACACAGAAAATCGCAAAGACTTGGAGAAGAGAAGAATTATCGTGTTTTCTTTTTGAACGAGATTTAAAAAAAAATCGAATTCTGAAAACATAAATAAATATATAAAAAAATAAACCGCCGATAAATTCTAACTAAAAAAAGTTTAAAAACAAAAAGCCTGCCACGGTCTAATGGGCCGCAGTGCCGCACCAAGGGATCAATACCAGCTGGGAATGAACCTATCAGGGTCGAGACCAGCTCCAGTTCGGTTGAAGACAAAATGGACTCCAGGCAACACACATCTTTTTTTTTTTGCTTTTGGGAGCAAGTTCCTTTCCTTTTTTTGATAATAATTTAATTATCACTGATTTAACTAGATTTCTTGTTAAATTCTCTCAAATTATCTGAATTCCCAGTTAAATACATGAACTTAGATTTTTTTTTTTCTGAAATATATATAAACCATAAGCTTTTATGTTTTACATGTAAAATCACTAGTTTTAGTTGTTTTAAAATTTTCAAAAATATCTTTGACGGTGATTATAGTCAAAGCCAACAATAGTCGATTATTCGGTGCTTGTAGCTGAGCAAAATATTTGTTGAGTTTGAGGTCTCTATGTTGATAGTTGCAAGAAAATTCTATAGGCAAGGCAACAAACATTATTTGTCTTAGGAATTTCACTATGAATAGATGTTATATAGTTGCCCCAAAAAAAAGATGTTACATAGACTGAGGACAATGTTTCTAGACTAAGGACTTTAAATAGGAAATTACAAGTCGGTGTTACATAGTTTGTCACCAAGGGAATGGTAATACTTTTCCCTTACAGACCAGACCTATCAACATTAAGAAGGGCTCCAGTTCGATCGAAGACAAAAGGGACACCATCTTCAGGACCAGCTCGAACAAAGACAACCGGTGGTTTATCTACATAACAACAAAACACAACACGTTAATGATCGTACTAAAATGTTCAATGTTCAATTAATGAATCTTAGGTCAAAAAAGGTAAACGAAGAGCAAGAAGCAGTACCATAGTCATCATAATGCATGGGAGTGGGAGGTTCCACTTCAACAGAATCCATCTCTGCATTGCATAAACACACGAGTTAACATCAGAATAGGTAGCAGCCAAAGAATCTAAAGCAGAAACCAATAGAGATAATTAAAAACGAAATCACCTTCGTCCTTTGGCTTGAGCCTGAAGATGGGAATATCAAACTGTTTTCCGCGACGCCACACTTTTACTTGATAGATTTTAGATTCAGGAGCGGATGAGGCCATATCTGTAGCCCAGAATGTTAACCAGCAGAGAAGACCAGAAGCAAAATTGAAATTAGCTGATACATGCTCGACAAACACAATTTTTGTTCCATGAGCTTCATTGTGTTTCTCAATGGCAAAGAGTGTCACGTCATTGATCACTTCAGCATTAGTTCGTGTCTGGCTAATAGGTGGTGAAGTATCCAACGACCTAATATGGAACGCGTAATCATATTGCTCCCAATCAACCGTGAAACCCTAGATTAAGCCAACGTGATCCCAAAAATATCATATTAGCTTTCGAATTAACCCTAACTTTCAAAGGAAGTAAGTAATCTAGAGATTAAATATTACCTCGGATTTATGGAATTCGTAGTGAAACAACAAATACTGTCGAAGATACTCATCATCTTCTACTTCTCCTAGCTTGAGTTGTTTGGAGGACGATTTCGATCCTTCGCAACCTTTGTTCAACTTCGGAATCTTAAGTGGCCGACGGTTAACCTCCATCAAACCAGAAACCACCATGATTTGATCGGAACCCTAACGCACTTTCTCGAACAGAGAAAATCGGAACGACTTGGCGAAGAAAAGAGAATTATCGTGTTTTCTTTTTTAACAAGATTCTAAAAAGTCTAACTAAAAAAATATATATATAAATAACACCCGCCGATAAATTACTCTTGACTAGCTAAAATTACTTTTGATTAGATTTCCATTAGTTTTTGGTTACTCTATCTCTAATCAATAACACATGTAAATAAGATAAAAAAATATTATGTTAAAGCTATAAGTCGTACATTGATCTAATCAATAACACATGTATATTACATCATTCTACCGATATTAAATCGTAATCTACGTTAATCTTACAATTGAGACAAACTTTGGAGTTGAAGAATTGGTTTGTTACGTTGAGATTTTTTTGTTTATAAAACATGACAATATCAAGGGATAGACTTTATAATATTTTTTAGATTTGATATTTTTAAATTTAATTTAGAAAATAAATAGATTATCATTATCTCAAAAAATAATTATAATTAAGAATAACTAAAATTGTTTCAAATTTATTTTATTTTTTCTCTCAATTTTTTTAATTCAGTATTGATTTTACTAAAAATACACCTTTAATTTAAATGTGGACAAAATTATGATTTTACATAAAAATTTGTAATTTTCATTAGAAATAGAAAAGGGATATTTTTCAAAAGAAAACTAAAAAGTAGGATAGTTTTAAAAATGACCCTAATTTATTCATTAACATAAATGTGTGAAATTTATCAATTAGAAAATTTTCTAAGAAAAGAGATTATTATTACCTTTTTAAAATGATATCTTTCTCTAAGAAAATTATAAAATTAATTACTAATCCTAAAATAAAAAGATTATAAATATTTATAAATTATAATCCATATTTTCACTTAAGAGATTATTAGAAAATAATAATTTTTTTATTACTATTTTTTAAAATGATATTTTCTATATGAAAAATAGATAATAAGTTATTAATTCTAAGCAAAATATAACCCATATTCACTTTTCTAATTTTTGTCTTTACTTTCTATTTTATAGGTTTCAGTAAATTGTATATATTGACTAGCGAAAAACTTTTCAAGCAACTAATCAAACAATAAAATAAAAATAACTAAATGCACTCTCTATTTTTGTAATATCTATTAAGTTTTATTATTTGGTTTCGGATAAAATTTTATCACACTTTTCTAATTATTTAACTAAAGTAAAATAAATTAAGTGTAACCCATTTCATATTATTTAGCAACTTCGTCAAGCATTTGATTCGTTCATTATAAGAACAATTATATTTGTTTATACTTTCTTATGCCACTATGTTTTGGAAAATTCCAACAGTGAAAGCACTTTTAAACATTAGCATTGGCTTAGAACAGCAAATAAAATTTTCTACAGAACATATTATTAATAAGGAGAAATTTAGTTAAGAATAAATAAATCAATAACATCAAACCCTCTCAATTTCATAAAACTCTCCAAAGTTTGCGTAGAGAGTCAGTGTTATCACCGTGGTGAACTTCTGAAGAATAGATGCACTTATCAGAAAATGCATATGCATGTATCTTTCAAAACTTTTGGAGTGATCGCAGATATGCGTATGTATACCGTTTGACTGTTTGTGGACGGCTATTGTTCCAATTTGCCGTAGTTTTTTATCTTAACAAAAGAGGATATGAAAGATATTCAGGATCTAAAGCCTAATCATGATTCGAACTTTTATGTTATGTTGTTAATTACTTTTTCTTAGGCTTTCGTTTGAACAAAACCAAAGATTCTTAATTTGCCTTTTGACAAAAGATATCTTTTATGGTTGAAAACAGTTTATCTAGTCATGGCTTATAAACTTCTTAGTTTAATTTGATATTTTCTTAAACTTAACGAATCGAGATCATTATTGGGAGTACAAGTTGGATTTATATATATTTGAATAAATCATAAACAGATATGCATGATGAAGGTACTTTGGGTCACTAACAATATCATATTCTAAATTTTAAAAGCTTTAACTTCTTAATTGAATATTACTCTAAAAGCTTAAAATTTGGACTCTTAGGGTTTAGGAAATCTGATGACATACTTAAAAAGAAAAATGTTCATTGAAAAACATATCTATGGATTACTAACTAATTGAAAGAGAAAATGATTGCTACCTACACCGAGTAAATGCCACAACATAGCTATACATGCAGACTATTTTATTGTATAACAACTACATCAACAATTGCATTTGCATGGTAATGTACATCATGTGTGCAACACCATAACCATTATTTTGATAATGTTCAAATGTACACCATAACCATCATTTTTGGCAATGTTCAAATGAATTCAACGTCGGAATTCGGTAAATGTCTGGCTTAGATCTAGACCCAATCCATTTAAAAAAATTAGTTCAGAAGAAATAAATTCAAATTTTATATTTATCTATTGCAACAAATAATTTCTAAGAAATCAAAAAAAAAAAAAAGAAGAACATATGCACTAACGACAATTCTGACGACTGGGCTTTTAATCATAAGCCCATTAAGTGGTGACCGGAAGGCCCAAACAACCCAAAACTCTGCTCGTCTCCGTCGTTGCCTTCTTCCTCCATCAATCCTCTCTCTCAGTAACAACGACACACTCATGGCGCCCAGAATTTTGCTCTGCGGAGATCCTCTTGGACGTCTCAATCAGCTCTTCAAGCGTGTCCAATCGGTTTCTCTCCTTCTCTATTACTATCTTTCTCCTTCTGCTCTCCGATTTTACTTGATTTTGTATCTCTTAGGGTTTTAATCGAAGTTCAATTGTTGCAGGTTAGCAAATCTGCTGGTCCATTTGATGCTCTGATTTGCGTCGGCCAGTTTTTTCCCGATTCTCCGGAACTTCTAGACGAGTTTCTGGATTACGTCGAAGGTCGAGCTCAAGTTCCGATTCCTACTTACTTCACCGGAGATTATGGCATCGTCGCACCCAAAATCCTATCGACGACTTCGAAGAAAGCTGAGAATCAAGGGTTTAAGATGGATGGACTCGAAGTTTGCCACAATTTGTTTTGGTTAAGAGGAAGTGGGAAGTTCACTCTTCATGGTAAGGGTTTTGATAATTATATCATAAAGTATCAATCTTTATCAGTTTTTTTTTGATAAGTTGTTTGGTCAATGATCTTTTGCTTTTGCTTAGGTTTGTCTGTTGCTTACTTATCTGGTAGACAATCATCTGATAGTCAATTTGGGAAATATAGTCAAGATGATGTTGATGCTCTTCGTGCACTTGCTGAGGAATCTGGAGTTATTGATTTGTTCTTAACATATCCTTTTTGTAGTTTGGATACATTCTCTATGTTCAGGTTTTTGTGAAATGTTTTAGTTCTTGTTTGTCCTTAATTAGTGTTTACCAATGAATGGCCTGCGGGAGTTACAAACAGAGCTGCGGTTTCTGATATACCTGTTGGAGTTTCTGATTCCTCTTTTAGTGATTCCACTGTTTCTGAATTGGTAATGGAAGTTAAACCTCGGTAAGTACCTTTTCTCGATTCTAATATTGTTGTTACTGGGGAATGTTGATGGCTTAGGAACTTAATTTACTGTTTCTGTTGCCTTTTGTGGTAGCTATCACATTGCAGGTTCTATGGGGGTATTTTATGCTCGTGAACCTTACCTCAACGCTGAATCTACTCATGTAACTCGCTTTATTGGTCTTGCTCAAGTTGGAAATAAAAACAAACAGGTGTGTTCTATAATTCCTTTCACACGAGCTTGGTATCTTGTATTTTTGTCTGAAGATTTTGGTACCTTTCTGTTTGATCACTTGCCTCTTGAGTGGTACTCTTAACTGAATGTATGGCTACTCCTTAGATGGAAATACTTTTGATGCAGAATCTATGCAAGCAAATGACTCACGTCAGACTGAATTTGGTTTTTTTGCGTTTTCTGCTGAATAGTTTCTGATCATCATGCAGTTTTCATAAATTCTTCATTTTTACTTCCTTTTTCCTCTTTGCAGAAATTTCTTCATGCGCTTTCTCCTACACCAACATCTACCATGTCACCAGCAGAGCTTAGTGCAAAGCCTCCAAAAACTACACTATGGCCTTATAATTTACAAGAGGGTGCTGCTGAATCGAAGAAGAGGCCAAACGACAGTGAATCTGATTCACAGTATTGGAGGTATGATGTCTCAAAGCGGCAAAAGAATGGATCTCAAGGGGAAAAGCTCTGTTTCAAATTTGTCTGCTCAGGTTCCTGTCCTCGTGGTGAAGATTGCCATTTCCAACACAACGCTGAAGCAAGAGAACAGTGTCGTAGAGGTGTTTGTCTTGATCTTATCATCAAAGGTAAGTGTGAAAAAGGCCCAGAGTGCAGCTACAAGCATGAGTTTCAAGATGAAAGTAGCATACAAAGGAAGCCCAGATCTGAGAATGCTAACAGGTATATTCTGATTTAGCTTCTGAGAACTTATCTTGCAACATATATGCAATTTGGACTAGGGGTTGAGACAGTAATTGTTGTTTCAAAATTGCTTTTCTCAGGTCAAAAGAATGCTGGTTTTGTCTATCAAGCCCGAGTGTGGAGTCACATTTAATCGTCAGTGTAGGGGAAAGTTTCTATTGTGCTCTACCCAAAGGTTCACTAGTCGAAGACCACATATTGATAATCCCAATCGAACATTTGCCTAATACTCTGGTTTTATCCCCTGAGGTTGAATCAGAGCTCAGTAGATACCAAAATGGTCTGAGAAATTGTTATAAGAGCCAAGGAAATGATGCAGTTTTCTTTGAATTGGTCTCTAAACGTGTTTCTCATGCTAACCTCCAAGTAAGAAAAGTTCCTATTGCGCATTTGGTAGATCTTTTGAATTTAGAGTTGCTTACAATTGTTTTTTTTTTCCCAATCTCTATAGGTTGTTCCGGTTCCATCATCCAGAGCTCGTCTTCTTCCTAATATCTTTAGTCTGGCGGCTGAAAAACTGGGCTTTAAGCTTGTGACGAAAAAGTGTAAGCTGAATTATCTGTTTTTTCCCTTCTCTATCTTATTGAATCAATGGACCCTATCTTTACAGATTATATCTACGTTCTTCCCCTAGCATTCTGAGTTATTTTTTGTACTAAATTATGTTGTCTTTGTTGCAGTTAATGATAGTACTGAAGGCAGATTATATCTGCAGAAGGAATATAATGCGGCTTTGGGTCTCTTCTATGTGGAACTTCCTGATGGAACTGTGCTATCACACACCTTGGAAGAAAACGAAGTATTCCCTGCACAGTTTGGACGGGAGGTAAGACATTTCATGAATGGATTGCGACTTTGCTATTATACTACTAAAGAAATATGCCATTGATAACACAATATTCATACGCATGAAGAGTCAAACATTATGTTCTATTTAATACAGAGTGATCATTCACAAAAGAACTTTCATGCTAGCCCATAATATATGAAGTTTTGGGTTCGAATAGATAGATAACTTCTGATCCACCTTAACATTTTTGAGATCCCAAAGGCGTTTTGTTGCTTAGAAAATGACATTGGATTTTACAGGTTCTAGCCGGGTTGCTAAAGATCCCAGATAGGGCCGACTGGAGAAACTGTAAAATTAGCCAAGAAGAGGAGGCAAAGCTGGCTGAAGATTTCAAGAAACAATTTCAAGAATTTGACCCATGCCAATAACCTTACTGACAAAAGATACGATCAAATGCTATCTTGTGGACATCATGCTAAACTCAGTGTCCAATGCACTCAGGTATTGTGTTTCTGTTCCAGTTTAATACCAAATTTCTACTATCTTTTGATGATAATGTTTTCTTCTAATCACCTTACTTAATATTTTCACTAGGTCAGAAGCCGAAGCTGTATCATGTGATGCATCGTCATAGAAACCTTTGTTTGTCTCCCTCCATCTTTAGAAGTAGGTTCATGGTCAGTTAAAAGCTAACAGTCTTCCATCTGCTTCCTTACTATTTTGCTTGTTACTTCCCCTTTTCTTCTAGTCAACACTTTCTTTGATATATTATTGTTTGTTGAGATGTAAGAGAGTGATCATCACAGAAACACACAACAGTCATGGTAGAATTTACTTCACCTGTTTTCACCTAAACTACTGACTTCTTGTTGGTTGGTAATAACATACCTTTTCTTCCTTTACAGTAATTAATCTCAATCATTTCTAGGCAAGACATACTTTTAATCTAGAATGGTTACTATATAATAAACCAAAAAATTCAGAGTATCTGATCAATGTGGTTTCAGCATCAATCTTTGATCACTTGATGAAATCCACATTTGTCAAAACAGTGAGAGTAAAGCTGGTTTTAGTGAATCAGATTCAACTCTCTGGCATTTGAAAGATGGTACCTTGAGAATGTGGGTTATTAACACATGGTAAAAGAGAAGAGAAACATCAATCTCTTATCTTTAAGGGTTAACTTAATTTTCTTTTGTTGCTGTTGTTGTAGCAGCTTTAGCAAAAGAGTAAAAGAAACAAAAGAAAAGCTTCAGCATCAACAAGGGTTTATAGATTCTGTCTATGCCTCTCTGCACATGGCTCTTTACCTTCTCATTTCCTTTAATGTGAAAGTGAATTTTGATGGTCCCATATATATTAGGTCTCTATAAATGCATCAACTACCCTCTAATTTTCTAGTAATTTAGGCTAATTTGCATACTTTTTAGACTAATTTCCCCATTTTCTGGTGTTTTCCTTATTTTGGAAAATCTGAATATTATTAATTAAAATTAGCATTGGTACAGTACCAACTGGACTTAGTCGGATCCAGTTCAGAAATCAGAGAGGAATATTTATTAATTTCGGTGGGTATATAGTGTAATTAATTGTCACGAGGCTCGACAAGGTTTTTTTGGACCATATAACGAAAATTCGGAAAGATCTCATTATATAGGGAGGCTATATAATCTAGTAGTAGTTAGAATTATTAGACTAGTACAAATTTTGACCACTTTAGATATTTGACAGTAACTTAATCAAATTCAGTTTTTATTCATTAATTTTGGTTTAGGTATGGCGATTTTCCATTTTTTTGGTTCGGCTAAATGTTGTTCTTCCACCTAATTATATTGGACTTTAATATTATATGATTCAAAGAATATATAATATATGATTTGTTTGAATAGTAGTACTAGTAAAGAAACAAAGAGAGCTAACGTCGTTGTCTGTGATCACTTCTTACAGTTAAACGACAAAAAGCCAAACACAAATCTGGTCGTATTGATCGTTGTTTATGTCCCTACACATACGACACCAAATACGATCTGCATTTCTCGCCACTCCTTTCTCGTATTTTTTATTTTAGTTGTGTCTATAAGTTTACTTGGATATTTGTCGGTGCTTGCATTGAAACGGATTTTTGTTATTTGATTTTTGTTTTGTATTAATGTGAAAAATCAAATGGGTCAATTGGAGTTTAATTTTGTTTTATTTAGACTTTTTAAGCTAAAAGTCATTAATTAGTGACAACGGAACTGATTCTTACACCACGTGTTTTTTAACGTTTTTATTTATCATTTTGGGTGACTTAATTTTTACTAAAGAGCTGGTGTTTCCTTGTCTTTACTCTGCTTTATGAATAAAATAGAGAAATTTATAAAAACAGGCACTTTTGATGAGAGAGATTCGGAAACAGGCATTACTATAGTGAAAGGTACCACAGTGCACACAAACATCACTGTGTCTGACTATTTTGCCCTTCAACTTAAATAAGCGAGATTTTTTTTTTTTTTTTTCTGGTACCAATGTGATGACATAAGCAACAGAAGAAGCTTGTTTTGGTTATCAAATAAAAGCGATAAAAAACAGTGTTTTTGGTCCAAAGCTACATATTTGTTTTATGCACGATCTATGTATTGAGAGATGAAGGGAGAAGCTCTCCATATATTGTTGAAAGAAATGACTGTTTGACTTTGAGAGATGAAGGGAGAAGCTCTCCATTCTTCTTCATCTATCCACGTCCATCTTCCCATGTTATCGGTATCTTTAGAAATTAGCTGAACCCAAAGAAAACGAATTTAACGACGCGGTGGTATTGAAAACTATACCCTAAAGCCAAGGCAGATGACTAAACCCAAGGGAAACCAATTTAACTTTGCGGATGTATTCAAAACTATATACCCTAATGCCAAGGCAGATGACTAAACCCAAGAGAAACCAATTTAACTTTGTGGTGGTATTCAAAACTATACCCAAATACAAGACATATGAATGAACTCAAAACGAAACCAATTAAACTCGCAATCATAAAGTGCACAATGCCAAATATTATTTCCTTACCGTTAGACAAAGAGTTCCATTCCTCAGTGATTGTTGAATCTGAAACGAATGAGGAAGACGAGTTAAGAGAGCCAATCAATGGAATCTTGCCTGTAAATGGTACATGATTTCTGAAAGTGAGAACCTCAAACACTTGTCATCATCAATCTCTTTGACCAAAAAACCAGTCACCCAAGCATCTTTATAATCAGCTTCAACGATGGAACCTATGTTGATACTAATTTTCACAAAATGAGATTCAAATCAGAGATCGTTTAGAAGCTAATGGGGTTTTAAACAAGTAGCTATAAAAATTGTAAAATTGAAGAAATTGAGATCGAAATTGTGGTTTCAAGGAGGCTTACACGGAGACAGGAGGTGGAGAAGAGAGGAACTCCGGAGGAATCAAGGAGAGATTTCAAGGAGGAAAAAGATTTACGGTGGATAAAGACGAGATTTTCGGAAGAATCGGTAAATCCGAGATCACTGGTAGAAAGTAGAAGGAGGTTATTGGAAGCGAGAGATCGATTGGTATTCGTCGGAGTACCTGTTCTCCCAAAAAGTGAAGCTTGCGCATGGAAGAGAGAGTAGCAGAATGACATCAGAGAGAGGAGGGCAATTCAGTCAATTCGCTGGCTTTCGATGCCTAAATCGTGAAAGCATTTGGAAAGTGCCGAAAAGCGAAAGGCACTTGTGTTTTAATGCCTTATTTTTAAATAACTCAATAAAATATTGTGATTAGTATATATATATAATCTACACATCACCATTTTGCGTATGTAATAAATCAAGATTTGACTTATGCAAACTTAATAATACAGTTTAACTATGTCATTTTCTGTTTGAAGTTGAATTTCACTATACCTAATCATTTTGCAGTGATTCTGGTTGGAACTACCGTATGATTATGGACTCACATTTTCTTAAGCGATTAATACTATAATTTTTGACATTTTTTAAATGACGTTTCCGAACGTGATTTTTCATGTTTAATTAAGATATTTTATTTCCAAAATATATTACCGTAGATGCGATACCTAGAGTGAGCCGAATCTTGAGAATTTGAGCAATAAGATGAAGAAGTTTGTTATTTAAACTAATAGTATAAATTTGTAACCATTATATACTTGTTTAATTGTTTTTGTTCATCAGTAATCATTTCATTTTACTAACTGGAGCAGTGGGAAATGTATAAGCAATACACCACAGATTGCCTTATAAAAGTCATATCTTTTTCTGGTATAAGGCAATTTTAAATATTAATACATGAAGGAGCGCCTTTGTAATCTATTTCCGGGAGTTCTCGGTCAACATGTGATCAATTTACTTTTGTGGACTTAATCTTCAACATGTATTTGCATTTTAAATCTTCACATTCGACTTATGATTTAATTAGAGGGAAACATGTATACAAGATGTTACGTCGATGCTATTGTTGTGCCTGTCAATCAAAGTGAATTGTTGCTATCGGTTTCACAACCAAAGATTTTTATCTATCTTTTTTTTTTTCATAAAGCAAACAAAGTAAGATATGAAAACAACGTTGTGATTCTTGTGAAGGGAATATACGAAACTTACTAGATGGATTGTGTTACTTTTGATATGAAGGAAACATACATATATATGATGTTACGTATTGGTTATGGTAAATTGGTGATATGATAAACAATAAGTCAGTTTCAAAAGCTAATCCAAAGTATGTTTTTTTTTGGTGAAGGTTGGATTAACGGGATATATAGGATGGGGTTAATTTGTCTCCTCATTGGATTCCTTTTTCTTCATATTCAACAAAATTTACAATACAAAACAAATTTCAATCGATTCCACTACTTATTATCTTTGACTGTGGAGATTAATCATTATGAAAACTTAAGACTTCATATACATAACTAGTATAGACAAACAAAAATTTAGAAGGTGGTAACGCGAGGAGGATTGAAAAATATAAAATTTTAGTCATGTATAGGCTCTATAGTTTAAGGTAGTTTTCATAATATTAATAAGTTTAATACATTTTGTCATTTTCCAATCAAATTTTTTAAATATTTTATTGTTCTCATTCTTCTTGCGTCTTCTGGTACTACCAAATGAATCTTGAAAAATCTTTTTCCAATTTGGATATGCTTCCAAGTGTTTGGTTATAATTTCAATCGGAGACAAAGTTCTACTGTTTAGAATCATGTCCTACATATATAAAAGAAACATGATTATACACGATAGAAATTGATAATTTACAGGAATATGCAAAAGATATCTCTATATATAATATACAACATATATTGTATGTTGTTAATATGTTTCAAAAAGTCATAAATAAGTATCTTTAAAGTGGGTTTAGCTGTATAAATCTTAATTATCTCCTTGACTTGATATTAATAAACAAATTCCAAAATTAAAAACGGTAGTTGGTTAATCAATCTTAAAGATTCAGCCGAAAAAAATAATTCTTAAACGTATAATATTTATAGTTTATAGTTTTGTAAAACGCTTTTTCACATTGTATTCTCAAACCAATAAATTAAACATAAGTGTAGGAAATCTATTGACTAATAAAACATAAAAGAATTTTAAAGTAAATTCACTTCTTCAACCCCAAATGGAGAAAAAAAGGTCAATAATAAACAAATGGATTCTAAAACCCCACTAGGCTTCTCTCAGACAAAACACAGACACTAGTTTCCTCCATTGACACTATCCCACTACCTTCAAAATCCCACCTTTTCTGTTAAATCAAATCTCTCTCTCTCTCTCTTGATCTCTCTTGACCAATTGAGAGCAAAAAAAACGTTTTTGTTCAAACATGAAGATGAAAGATTAATTGCACATAGAGACCCCCTTTTGATGACTACCGTTCTCTTCCACCAAACTCGTTTCTGTCTTTAATTTCCATTTTTTTTTCTTAGTGTGAGCATTAATCACAAAAAGAAAAAAAAATATCATTCCTTTGCTTCTTTCTCACTGTTCCTTTGTTTCTTATTCTTCTTCTTCTTGCGTTTTAAGTCATTTCTCTTCTTCTGCCACTTCGATTGCTTTAAACTTGGAGCTTAAGATTACACATCAATTCTTCTTTGTCTTCCTCGTGATCATCGAGGAAGCTTGATCTCTTCTATGGAATGGAGATTTTGATTCTCCTCCTTAGGATCTGTCTTCTTTCGTCACTTTTAGTCGTTGGTTCTTCCTCTGGTATGTTTTAGTTTTATTTGCCCTAAAAAAAAAGGCAATTATTTCACTTTTTCAATAATTGGGATTAGATTGGATCAATTTGGTAAAAATTTGCAATCTTTATTTATTTGGTTTTTGCTAAATTCTCCATTTAAAAAAAAAAAAACTCTCTACTAGTGATGAAAAAAAGGAAACTTTATTACAAACACAATGCGATTTTATAATGTGATTTTTTTTTTAATGATTTTCGTGTAATTGAGTCAAAATTCAATTGATGCAATTGGGGAAATTTTTGATTTCAAAGATTTTAACTTTGTTTATGATTTTGTGTTTTTTTTTTTAATTGTTTAACTCAGGATTGAATTTGTTATCTCCGTTATCATCACCACCGTCTCCATTACCGGAAACTTCAAAAGGGTTTGGTCAAGCACCGAGTCATTCACCTGAATCTCACAAATCCGACATTGTGCCACCGTCTAAAGCTTCTCAACCGTCTCTTCCTCCTTTAGCTGACGTGGCAGCTCCGCCGCCGTCAGATTCCGTCGGGGGTAAAGCACCGGCCGGTGAGCCTATTGTCTTGGTTCCTAATGCTCCAGGTAACTTGGATTTGATTGAAAATGTTGATTCTCTTCACAGACAATTGATCGAACACTTGGCAGGCACTTGGAACCACTAGAAATTGTGTATTGAATTCAATTTTTATGGGGTTTTGATTCATTCTTCAGCTCCAGCTACAGTACCCGTGAAGGATTTGCCCGTAACTTCGCCTCCGGTTCAACCCATTACACCGGTTGCTTCACCACCTCAATTCGTTCCAGGAGATGCACCAAAGGAGCCTCCTTTCTCAGGAAGAGTTACTCCGGGTATGTGTTTATACTACCAATTGAAATCTTGAATCTTTAGCTTGCAATGTTCTTTAGTCTTTAACTTGAATCTTGAAACTTTAGCATAAATCTTGAAAAATCTATAACTTGCAATGTTGTCTAATTCGCAGGCCCGGTTTCATCACCTGTTTTGGATATTCCTCCAATTCCATCAGTGGTTCTGCCTCCGCCTACACCAAGCAGTGTACCTCCTAGAAATGCTTCTAACAATCACAAGCCTCCTATCGAAAATCCTATTGCTCCTGGTATAGTACCATGTTTTGTTCCCCCATACTTGGTTTACGTTTCAATTGTTTATACTTTTTTATGGCATAAACTCATTTGTGGTCTCTTAATCTCTGAATCAGTTGCATCTCCACCAACAATATCAATTGACATTTCACCGCCAGTCCATCCCGTCATACCAAAGTTAACACCCTCTAGCTCACCTGGTATGCGGTTGCGGAATTACTTATTCTGTATTTATTTTCCTACATTGTTACGAAAATGTCTCTGTTTAGCCTCTGATTATCTCTGTCAAACCGTGCAGCACCCACCTCTACCCCAACTAAGGGATCTCCGAGAAGAAATCCGCCAACTACGCACCCAGTATTCCCCATAGAATCTCCTGCCGTCTCACCAGGTTTGCTAAACTTTTGAATGTGTTTATCCGTAAGAAAACCATATCCAGAATATCAACATTTCCTCTTCTTTTCTAGATCCTGCTGCAAATCCTGTAAAACATCCACCACCAAGTGATAATGGAGATGATAACAAAAGTCCGGGTGCTGCACCTTCAAATGAAACTGCTAAACCCTTACCTATCTTCCCCCATAAAGGTTAGATTCTTAAGGCATCAATCATATAAGTTACTGTTATTTCCGGTATCAAGAATACAAGGGGATTAAATTCATATTATTATTACATTGCAGCTTCTCCTCCTTCGATAGCTCCCTCAGCCCCAAAATTCAACAGACACTCTCATCATATATCCCCATCTACTACTCCACCGCCAGATTCTACTCCGAGTAATGTACACCGCCATCCTTCATCATCATCTCCTCCTCTATTTTCACACCATCAACATCATCAAGAACGAAAGAAAATCACAATTAGTCCAGCTCCTTCGTCACCACCACCGCACCTCATATCTCCAAAGAAGTCAAACCGTAAAGGTTTCCACTTTACCATAGCCTTTAAGATACTTTGATTGGCCAGTCATCACACTTCTCGTGTTCTAATTCTCTCTCTCTCTCTCTTTTTCCTATGTTTTGTTGTTATAGGTTTAATGACTCCTCCTCCATCATCATATCATGCTCCTTCTCCTCCCATTCCTGCTTCTTTGATTTCTCCTGCTCACACTCCAATCCCTTCCACTATGCAACGCATCTCCCCGGCTCCATCACCTTTTCCAACCCAAGGTTTGATTCCGCTCATAATTTTTCCAACAACAAATTGGCAAATTTTAAAAAGAAATTAACCTCTTTGCTTGATGCGAAATCCTAAATTATGTTTATTTCTCCTAAAGTGTTTCCTCTCAGGTCCTCTTCAAGACCTTCAAAATCTCGGAAATTCCCACTCGGTCCACCGCTTCAAGCATTTCCCCCTCCTCCCCCTAATTCAGGTTTTTAGAGATTTGTATTCGGTTACTTTTGGGAACAAAACTGTCTTTTTTCGGGTCCTTTTTTCGATGTGAACCCAGTTTCTGTTGTTGTGTTCTGCAGATTGTACTTCAACTATTTGCTTGGAACCGTACACAAACACACCTCCAGGATCTCCATGTGGCTGTGTCTGGCCAATTCAGGTTGAGCTACGGCTTAGCATGGCGCTCTACGACTTCTTCCCAATGGTTTCAGAATTTGCTCGAGAAATCAGCGCCGGGGTTTTCATGAAACAGAGCCAAGTCCGTATAATGGGAGCTAACGCGGCTAGCGAACAACCTGACAAATCCATTGTTCTTATCGATTTAGTCCCGCTTGGAGATAAATTCGATAACTTGACCGCAATGGTGACTTACCAGAGATTCTGGAGTAAAAAAGTCTATATAGATGAACCAATCTTTGGTGGATACGATGTGATTTACGTGCGTTATCCTGGTTTGCCGGCTTCCCCGCCAACTTCCGGTATGACCATTATAGATCAAGGCCCATACTCTGGTACTAATAACGGAAGGGCGATCAAACCACTCGGAGTTGATGTTCCAAAGAAGCCGCACAAGAAAGACCTCAATGCTGGAAGTATTGCTGTGATTGTTTTATCGGCAGCTGCTTTTATCGGGTTATGTTTCATTATTGTTTGGGTCTTGGTTTTCCGGCGACAAAGAGATCGACGGCGTCTTTCTAAAAGAGCACCACTTGCTCGCCCTTCACTGCCTTCCCTCTCGAAACCATCAGGTAAAAAACGGTTACTTTACTACCTAATCTAGTTTTCAATTCGGTTTATGTTTTATAAGACATAAAATCAAATAGAAATTGAATGCCATTTGGTTCGATTTGATACAGTTTAGGTTTCAGTTTATGTGTTTAATTTGAAAGTTTTCAAAGACATTAAGATGTTAATCGGTTTATTCATCTTCGGTTTGAATTTGATATATCAAAATACAGTATGTATGTTAAAGTTGAAGATATTTCAAAGAGATTGTGATTTTAACTGGTTTGTTTCGTTTTCAGCTTGGTTTGGTTTCAGTTATGGTTTATTCGGATATATGAGAAAACAAACTCGAAAATGTTTCATTATCTTTGGTTCGGTTTTCGATTGCTGAACCAGATTAAACTCATCTGGTTACTAGTTACTACTACTGTTGCTGTTGGAAAAAACAGGAAATAACTAAGCTGAATTTGCAGGCTCGGCGAGATCTTTAACTGGAAGCCGGTTTAGCTCAACTTCGTTGTCATTTGAATCCAGCATTGCTCCGTTTACTCTCTCTGCAAAGACATTCACCGCAAGCGAAATAATGAAAGCTACTAATAACTTTGATGAATCGAGGGTTCTTGGTGAAGGTGGATTTGGACGAGTTTATGAAGGTGTTTTCGATGACGGAACTAAAGTAGCAGTTAAGGTATTGAAGAGAGATGACCAGCAGGGTAGCCGAGAGTTCTTGGCCGAAGTAGAAATGCTTAGTCGTCTTCATCACAGAAACCTCGTGAATTTAATTGGTATTTGTATCGAAGATCGTAACCGTTCCCTGGTTTATGAACTCATACCAAATGGCAGCGTTGAATCTCACCTCCACGGTATGTTTTCCAGACCTTAAATACCCCAATCTGGTCTTTGGTTTTCAGATATTTTTGGTTTATAGAATAAAGCAAAAAGTGAATGGAAACTGAATATCGTTCAGTTTGGGAAGATTTAGTTTTGTTTCGGTTACAATTTGTTTGGACATGGAAAAAATGAAACCGAATTAGTTGATTTCTTTGTAGTTTGATTATTTTGATCGATATGGTTCGGGTTCAGTTCAGTTTGCTTATCTTTGAAATCAATCTCTTGTTTTCTTTGTGTTTCTTATTCAGGGATTGATAAAGCATCTTCGCCTTTAGATTGGGATGCTCGGTTGAAGATAGCTCTGGGTGCCGCCCGTGGTTTAGCGTATTTACACGAAGACTCAAGCCCGCGAGTTATACACAGAGACTTCAAGTCCAGCAACATCTTGCTTGAAAACGATTTCACACCTAAAGTCTCTGACTTTGGATTGGCTCGTAACGCCCTTGATGATGAAGATAACAGACATATATCGACGCGCGTTATGGGAACTTTTGGGTAAGATAACAAAACCATATTCAAAACAAACCGCTTCAATTTTCTGTTCCGGTTTAACTGATAATGTTATGTTTTTTTTATAGGTATGTGGCGCCGGAATATGCAATGACGGGGCATCTTTTGGTGAAGAGTGATGTGTATAGCTACGGAGTTGTGCTTCTCGAGCTACTTACAGGGCGGAAACCAGTGGATATGTCTCAACCACCTGGACAAGAGAACTTAGTTTCATGGACTCGGTCTTTTCTTACGAGCACAGAAGGGCTTGCAGCTATTATAGATCAGTCTTTAGGACCCGAGATCTCATTCGATAGCATAGCTAAAGTCGCGGCGATAGCTTCGATGTGCGTTCAACCGGAAGTATCACACCGTCCTTTCATGGGAGAAGTAGTGCAAGCTTTGAAACTTGTCAGCAACGAATGCGATGAAGCTAAAGAACTCAACTCTGTAACTTCAATCACTCAAGACGATTTTAGAGATGACACTCGAGCTGAGAGCTCTTGTGGTGAAGGCTCAGCGAGGATGGCTCGGTATCCATTGCTACCGAATTACGACTCTGAGCCTGACACAGAGAGAGGACTATCTACATTGGAAATGTACTCGGGGTCAGGGAGGTTCGAGAGACAGTCTAACTCGGGTCCCTTGACCTCAGGTCGAGGCAAGAGGTTCTGGCAAAAGATGAGGAGATTATCAACCGGAAGCTTGAGCGAGCATGGAACACCAACGGTGATGCTACGATCCGGTTCTCATTGAACATTGGAGTCTTTAATAGCCCGTTTAAGTTAAAAGACAGGAAAGGAAAGTAGGTGCCTTGTCCTACAAGCAACTCTTTGCCTCATGGAAACCGGTTAAGAGAAAACCGGGAGAGATCATCATTCCCGGTTCAACAATTAGTTGAATAGATCTTTGTATCTTAGAAGAAACAAGAGATTCTGTTTATTCTAATTTGAATGTACATATCAAGTTTTAAAGTAAGAGAGGCTTAAGCATTAAGCATCATCCTTCACAATTCCGGTTATTACAAAGAAAATTGGTTTTTAAAATCCCTAAGCAGACGAAATGGTAAATGGCTTTAGGCCTATAAGCCACTCATATTCTGATTGGTAACGTTTTGACCAATGTCATCATAAAGGTTGTGTTCATCGATGAATATAATAAATTGTGCTAAGAAAAAAGAGAAATTGGGAAGAGAGAGAGTCAGCGTCGCATCGCTGATTCGCTGCAAGGAAAAAAACTGTACAGTGACCAAACACAAACAGATGGCACGTCCCTGTAAATTTCAATATCAATTCGAAACCCATTAAAGTCTTTTCACATCACTAAACTTTGTCTATTCATTTTTTCTTTTGCTATGAGAAGAGAACATTAAAGAAAAATATCCACCCACTTTTGGTTTTATCAGGGAAAAGTCCAACCATTGTATTGAAATTTACTCACCGACCAGCTTCCTAATTTTAGTAACTCCTCATTAACTTTTTTCCATACCTTTTTCTGTATTTTATTTTCTTCTTTACGCTATAGAAAACAAAATCAGATTTAATATGAATTTTGAAATGGTTATTTACATTATTTCATCGCAAGTTATATTAGCAGAAGACACTTGTTCCTTTGTCTCTAATTTTTCTTGGTGAAACTTAACTAAAATTATATTATTAAAACGTGTAACATATTTTCAACAAAAAGACAGCTGATAATTTATTTGATTTGGACTTTATAATTTCCATCATTCGGACCCACTTACAGACTCAATTCACTGTATTTATAGATATTATCATAAAAATGTTATAATTTCTATGTATAAATATATCTACACTTAATTCTATATATAAATGTGTAAGAAGAAAATCACAACAATAATATTGTACGGTCTCTTTTCTTTTTTAATTCTTCCTCTCTTGAGTTGAGAGAAAATGGAAGAAATGAGGAAGAAAGAAGATGAGAAGGCGGCGAAGGAAGTGACTACGACGACGAAGATCGTCGCCGGAGAGGACGACGAGTATACGCCTGATGAAATCATGAAGCTCGTTGAGTCATCTTCACCGACAATGACGACGACGGATATCGAAGGAACTAACTTTACCGGCGAGGGGGGTTTCAGAGTGAGGTTTATCGACGATCCGTACGCAGTTCCGGTGGTTGTTCAGTCATCTTCCGGTTACATCACGATCAATGTCAACGAGGAAAGCTGTGGTCCGTCGTTTTCAGACAGCGACTCTTCCGTCATGGCAAGTGTCGACGCAAGTGGTTTGTTCGGTTGCTGTTTCGAATACGGAGGCGAGAAAGGCGGCGCGTGGAGTACAAACGAGGTGAGAGCGAGTGAGTATGAGTGGAACGACGATATGTTGGCGAGGTTTCTAGGTGAAGACTGTGTTTGACCGTTTTGTCGTATTTTGGAGAAAACATGATATTTAGGGGTATTTTGGTCATTTTGATTGACGGTAATTATGGGAGAAAAGTGAAAATGATTTACACGTTGTTAATAGGAGGAAGAAAAATGGAAAAACCAGTAAATGGTAGTGGTAATAGTAGTAGAGTAGGCTAGTTAGTCGTTAAGTGGTTTTAATGTGACCATTTTGGTAATTTCGTCACATTGCGGTACTAATTCCTCTAATTTAGGGTCTATTTTGTAAATACGATAACTATTAAACCCCTTAAAAAGTAAATGAATGCTATATTTACAAATGCATCCCTAGGTTTCTTACTTGTTCTCACCATAAGATTGAAGAATGTGAAAATCTTATGGTAAATCGAAACACTCATTTGTATTACTCTGTGAATTTTATTAAGCCATTGATGATGACTAGTAGTAATATACAATTATACTTATACATGTTGTATAATTCTTTGTAATCACTGCACAAATTCATAAAGAAAATTTCCAGCTCTGTCTCTATCTTCAAAGCAAAGCCAGAGAGAGATATAGACAAACAAATCAAACAGCTTGCTTCTGTCCTGAAAACTCGGAACCAGAAGAAGCTTTTCATGTTCTTTTCACCAATGAGATTCCATTAGGATCACCACCCCACTCTTCAAAGACAACTATAAGGTTCTGAGACTTAAGCCATGAACGAGGTACATGATACCATCTTTGTGAAGCTTCACCACAATTACTTAAACATTTCTTTGCGTCGAAAGTTCCAGCGTAATTACAACGTCCACAAGATCCTTGAGCTTTATATGCTGGCCAATGACGTCCAATGTTTCTACCATTTATCCAAACTTGACCTTTTCCCATTGTGTTCATGTCTAAAGCCAATGGTTCATTGCCTGCTGGTGTAGAAAAAGTAGACTGCAACAAATAAAAAGAATGGTTTTTTCAGTTTGTTCATAGTCTCTAAGTTTGTTTATAGACATTAGTTTAATCCTTCATCCTTGTGTGTTCTCTTACCTTGTACCAGGTTAATGGTTGCTTCTTGGCCACAAATGATCCTTGAGTCCATCTCACACCGGAACTCTCTGTGTTGGTATGAAGACTCAAAGCTTCACCCTTTAACCAATCTGTTTGAATCACATTTAAATCCATTGTTGATTGGTTTATTGTTACTAGGAAACTTAAACTGAAAGTGGTTTTAAAATTTCAGTGGAGGACCTTATAGGACCATTTCCATTTCGACATGTCCCATGTTCCGGAGTTAACTCCCTTCAATGTGACCGGACCAAGAACTCCTTTATTCCACTTTTCAAAATGCGTACCGACGTTCTACAAACAAACCAAGAACCACAGAGCTCAGAGTCAGAACCAAATTATCTTCTGAGCACAAAAACTGCTTTTAAAGATTCATCAGGAACTTACCGGGAGACCCACTGCAACACTCAAAAGAGCAAGCTTGTTGACACCTGCATGTAGTTTGATCTTCTGGCTAAAGGTTAGTTTTGGGTGCTCAAGTCCTCCATAAGCAGTTCCTGAAACAGAGAAATTCCAACAATGTTTTCAAGTTAGAAGACTAAATAACACAGAGACTAGCCAAGCTTCCATTGTTTCTTTTATATTACCTGAAAGCTGCCCATTGACAAACACATGAAGAGCATGTCCAGCTGACATAACAGTAAGAAGAGGGGAATCACCAGTCTTCAAAAATGTCTCACCGGAACCGATTGTAATGCTGAGTAAAGAACCCGTAAACAAAACTAACCGTGAGTTTCTTTTCGAAGACTTAAGACAAAAAAGGAGAGTTTTGATGTTATTATACTTACTCTGTTAGATACCAGAAGTAGTCAGATTTGTCCCAAGTCATGCTTATCTGTTCCACAAGCCCGTTTCTTGCAAACGTGCCAGCTTCATTCGCAGTAGGAGTCGCTTCGTTGAATGATCCCCAAGAGAATCTAGTACCAGTAGGAACCATATTCCTGTGTACGCTTGGTGCATTAACCTGTTTATTCAAAAACACATAGGATCAGTTCAATCTAAAGATCAAGAAGGTAGCTTTCTTGCCAAAGAAGTTTCTTGTTCTGTCTTACCTTTGCAGTGTTGTAAAACTCTGTTTTGCAATCAGGTAAAATACTGACTGACCAAGGAGGCAAGTCATATGGGAATCCACGGAACATAACTCTCGCTGCAGAACTCTCATCTTTGTTCGATAAAAACGCGGCGCAAGATGATTTAGACCAGAACACATAAGCCTGAAAGCAACACTCAAAAGCATGAGGTTTCTTTCTCATTTAAAATCTAAACATAAGTTAAAAAAAAAAAGCTTTGATCGTACTTTCTTGTTTAGCACCAAGCGATGTGACCGTAGCATCAGCAGAAAGCAAAGCTGGCTCACTAAGTTTGATGACTTATGCAATGCTTTCAAATGACTATACTTTGGTTCTCTTGGTAAACCTTTTTGAAATAAAATGAATCAGGTTATCTAATCATTAAAGACATATTACTGTGTGTTTTTGAGTTTGGTTTTAGTACCGTATTCATCGAGAGGAGCATCATAGTCATAGCTTGAAGCCATGAACTCACCGGCTGTTCTGTCAAAATTTGTCTCCTCCATGATACTATAAAAAGGTATATAAACACAAATTAAGCCAAAAAAATTGAAAAATCCATGTGCATTTGTAACTCTGTTTAATTTTGCTTACCATATAGTAATTGACGAAGGAACCTCCTTTTTGTATGAATCGTGCAACGGAATATGCAATATCTTCGACTGGTCTGTATGGTACAGCAACTCCAAACTCTGTGTACCTGAGATTTGATTTACAGATTTCAAAACAGTGGTTTTCTTGTTTGGAAGTTAATGAAAATTACTCTCTCACAATCTATGATTTGTATTAATTTGATTTTCTAGGCCATGTTGGTTTTGTGACTTACCAACCAGTCCAATTCTCTGTCCCACATCTTTGGCTTGTTGCTTGAGTTTGTTTGAAATCTTCACAGTAATAAACCATTGCATGTGTCTATCTGTAATTTGCATTTTTTTTAACCAAAAACCCTAAGTGAAGAAAGGAGGAAACAGAGGAATTAGAGAGATTCTAACCAACAGAACAAAAAAAAACTCAAAAACCCATTTTAAAATTCTTTTTAATTTGATGATATATTTCGGTAGTTATAAACCGGTTATCAAAGAAAAAACCCGAAAATCATACTGGTTTGGTACATATACTATCAAGTACTCGAACATAAGTCCTTTTCTGTAGCAGAACAAAAATTTTTGTGTTGTAAGTTTAGCCAAAAATATGAAAGAACGTACGATAGGTAGAGGGAGCATCTTCTTGCTTGCACATAATCCATGGAACACCAGTGGAGAGTCCTAATGCCATCTGAGCTACCCATTTTGTATATGCCTTTCCTGGTGCTCCTATTTCCCATTCCACTGGTCCATATTCATTCTCAATCTGTCCATTTTTTTTTTCATATTTTACATGATTATTAAAAGAAGACATTTAATTTGAGCCATATAACTATAATCATTGGTTAATGATATTTAATGTAACAAACAACAACAAACCTGTGCAAGAATGATGGGTCCTCCTTGCGTTTGAAAACAACTTTTCTGCTTTCATCATCCATACAATCTTTTCAGTGAATTTCTTCATTGCAGCCTTTTCAATATCAATTATAAATTAACATCAATCATCCAATCAGAAGATAAATTTTAAACATTAATATATGAGAGGGCAAAAGTGAGTTTTGTTTAGAGTTTCAAACCTTGAAAGGTTCATTATCCGTCCTAAAAGCCATACCGGGAACAAATTTGAGCCAAACCGGAAATCCCCTAAAAAACATTTAAAACATAAAAAATGAAATTTGAATACTAATCAATTCTTAAAAACAGGAGGGAAGTGATTTTATATTTACCCAAAGTTCCATTCAGCACAAACATAAGGGCCAATCCTGAGATTAACATAGAGACCAGCTTGGTGCACCAACTTGATGAACTTAACCAAATCATACCTGTCTCCAAAATAATACTGAGGAAATAATAATAAAAACAAAATTTAGAAGACATGTGACTTGTGAGAGAAGAAAATTAAACAATAAAACATTTTAATGGATATTTTTTTGTTGAAAATTACTTGTCCAGGAGAAGGTTCATGGCCATTCCAAAAAACGTAAGTCTCAATAACATCCAAGCCTCCTTCTTTGGCTTTCTGTATTAGGCCAGGCCACATCTACACAAAAAACAGAGCATTCAATGAATCATTTAATTTCTTTTATTTTAAAACACTTTTCGAATGTATTTATTAAAAAAAAAACATTTTTGAAATATATTATTCAGATAATATGCAAAACCCATGTGAAGGAAAAATCTTGGAAATGAAACACATTGCATAATATCAAATTAAGTCAATCGAATTCAGAAAACAGAGAGATATAAGAAAACTTTAACCAGAAGTAACAAAAATCCATTGAAAGTGAAGTTATCAAATTTAGATTAAATAGAAACACTGAATTATAAAAAATGTGAATAAAGATGATTACCTCAGGGGTGCTTCGTGGATAGTGAATGGAACCAGAGAGAAGGATTCTTCTTTGTCCATTGATGATCACAGCTTTACGATCATAAGAGACTGATGCTTTTACTATACAAACCAATGATAAACAACAAATAATCACCAGAAAAATCCAGGATTTATCTCTAAAATTCAATCTCATTTTCTTTAGATATTTTCAGAAAAAAAGAAGATTCTGTTAAAAGGATATTTTGGGTTGGATTAAATGATTGTTTTGGAGTTATATATATAAGGGAGAGAAAGAAAGAGGGTGATACATATATAGGTTAATGTATGTATAGATTTAATGGAGTGTATATCTTTTATCTATTCTGAGAAGAGGATTTAAAGATAGAAGAGACTCTTCTAATCTCTTTGCTTTGTGCGGGTGACTTTGAAACGTCACAACCTACTATTTTGATTTTTCTTTTTTTGAGTTATTTTTTTCATTTTCCTTAACTTTTTTTTTTTTTAAATTGTTTTGTTATTGACTAGGTAGTTCACCCATGAGATCAGGGGGAGTTTAACAATATTTGAAAATTTTGTTTCTGAAAATACTAATTTTCAAAAGTAGTAATAAATCAAATATTCTATAGAGTAGTAATTTATGTGAAAGTGAAGTTAAACAAAAAATTATAAAATTGGAAATAAAAACATTAGGAAAATATATCATTTTGATGATGAAAATTAGAAATTTCAATTGTAAAAAAACGAATCAAGAAAAATAAGTATGTGATAAAACGAAAAAAAAATTTAGATTCTTATTATTGTAAATTAATTGTTTCAAGTATGTTTTAAAGCTATTGTTGACAAGAAAGAAAAACAAAAGATGAAATCAATACAATAAAAACAACAAAAGTCTCTCCAGTGCTGACACCTCAGCATTTTGGAGTATTCTGGGACTGACACCTCGTTAAAATCATCAACCAATCAAAACATTTCGATTAATACAACTCAGATTTCTCAACCAATAATAACTCTTTCCAATTCCACATCACTTAATAAATATTAAATTAAACACAAGTCCAAGCCCAAGCCCAATTGGTTTAAACTTTTAAAAGAACAACCTAATAATTAATTAAATAAAAATAGCCCAATGCCTAAATTTCTATTAAGAAAATCAATTTAACGTAAGGTGCTTATTAATCATTTCGTAGGTAGTCACACCATTATATGTTTTTTTCAAACACGTAAGCTAACATAATTGGTTTTTTCTAAATGCAAAACATGGTTTCATTTAAAAAGAAGAAAATTGATAGCTTCATGAATGGAGGCAGGTACCAAAAGAAAATTACGAAAAAAAACACTCGTAAAAATATTTAAATTTGAAAATAAATAAAAAACAATATTTCAAAAGTACATCTACTTTTCGTCTTAAAATGCATAAATTTCTATGTTTTATTTCTCCGGTAGTTTTAGTTTGAAGTCTCAATTGATGAATCACATAAGAAAAAAAAAAACTCCATGATCCAAGTGTATAAGAAAATATGAGTGGTTAATTGAAGGAAAAAGAGAGAATCATGAGGAATGGTGAAAGAAGGTTTAGGCTGAGATTCAGAAGAAATTGGGGATATGATATAGAAGATACCTAATAGGCAAATGGGTTGGAGAAAGTTTGCTTACTTAAACTCAAAGTTAGATTTTTTAATCATTATTCAATGTTTTCAGCTCTACTAAAAATGAGAAAAAAATCTAAAAATAGCTCACGAGTTTGATTGAAGCTCTTGGAGCTTCTTAGAAATTCAAAAAACAATTGGCACGATAAATAATCAAACACATGCAGCCATGTTCCTTTAGACTTTATATAATTTAATTTGAATAACAAAAAAAAAAATTGGAGTTTGGAATTATAGAATGTACTTGAGGCGACTAAAGGTTCAGTTGTTGATTTAGTGTACATAATTTCAGAGATACAATAACAAATACAAATAATCTAACTCTCATTTCATTTAAAGAAAGGAAAATTCAAGTCATTAATCCTTTGTTTCAGAATTTAAAAGTAGTTTTATTTTCATAAAATTTATTGACAGTTAGATAATTTTATTAATGCTAGAAAGAGACAATCCAAATACTAACTATCGGGTTTAGCAAAAGTTTTAAGCTTTAAAAGAAGACAAACATTTATATGTATATCATAAAAAATATGATCTTTTAAAGACTTTTTCTAACAAAATGATCAAAACTTGAATTATAAAACCCCTCGATATGATTTGGCTTGTGTTCGGGTCGATTTATATTCTGCTCGGTTCGGTTTGGTTTTAGTTGTGTACTCTTAAAGAAACTTAAAGGTAGAGATGTTTAAATAAAATCAATCTAATTTTATATTTTATTAGTTAAAAATGAAAAAAATATCTAACGCTCTAGATCAAGGACAACGTTGGTAAAGCATTACATATAAGTATTTACAATATTATTTAATTAAATATATAAATAGATTGAGTTATCGGTTTAGATTGAGAAGAAATATAATCGAATTGTTTGAATGTAAGTTATGGTTTGGTTTGGATCGGTTTGAGTTTAGTTTGCTAGGTTTGGTTTAGTTCGGTTAAAATGTCCACCCATAATAATATTGATCTGATCTAATTCGAAAATCGAATTGTTTTAAAGTTAAAAACTTGTTCGTAGTGTTCAGCTTCTAACGAAAAAAATACACACAAAAACTTCGCGTATTAATTATTTTGAATTAATGGTCAAAAAAATTATATATTAAAAAAAAAGGTATATTAAAATACTTTTAGTAGGATTCAAATATTGCTTGTGTACCATAAATGATTTTAACAAAAATAATCTAAGGTTCTTGAAGTATAATAGTCGCTAAAAAAATATTTATATATATCATAATATAAAAAATAACATTTGTAAGAAATTAAACATATAATAAAATGAAAAATAAAACAAACAAATACAAAAATTGATTATAAGGTAAATTGATTCCATAAAAGTAAGATATAAAAGGTATTTACTAATGTATTTTTATATAAACTTATAAAATAAAAACAACTAATATATGAGTAAAGATAAAATACAAAATCCGTGAAACTTTTTAAATTTCTACCATAAATACTTATATTAAAACAAATTTTATTTACAAAAACTACTTGAGACTTAAATTATTTGTTAAATTCTCTTCATGCATTTTGTTTTCTAAAAACCACTTGTTATCAAACAATTTGTGCAAAAATAAATTTTTTTAAAAGCCCCGCAGCGTAGCGCGGGTTTCGATCTAGTTGAATATAACAGAACTTGTATGTATAAACTTAGTTGCAAGCAAAAAAATTGTGTTAACTTCATTTTGAATCATATTAAATTTTTGGAGGAGTACAAAACGAAGTTTCTTTTCCTTTGTAAACAAAATGTCATTGTGTATGGATATACTTTCCCACGTTGAAATTTTCGTCATAATGTAAGGTTTGTAGTATTGTGATGAGATTTTATTAGTTCAACAATCTTTGGTTTCGTCTTGACTCTTGAGAACGAAAGTCAAGTTGCCGCATTCATGACGTAATTAAAGCTCCACCTTCCACCGGACTGGTGCCTATAGAAGTAGAAAGACTCAAAGACATATGCGCCTCTAATTACCATAAATAATAAAGTGGTCTAACCAATTTTTATTTTTTTATAAATAACCAAGAAATCTGAGCTGAAATCTAAAGTAATCTCCGGAACTTGTAAAGTGCCATATTATTCTTCACAATCGCTAACTATAATTAAAATGACATGATTTTAACCAAAGTCAGGTTCATTTTGGTTTTAGATACATTTTTCGACTTAGATATATATAATAAGATTTGTTTTACCAAGTTTAAACATCTTGAATTTGTAAGGAAAAATATGGGTGGGTGAACATTACATATATAATTTATCTAAACCGGATGTATACAAGGATATATGAATTTACTAACAATGTTATTGTGATGATTTTTTTTTTTTAGAAACTAGAACGAGAAAAAGGATTTAATGCGCAAAAATGCATTTGTAGAGCTTACGTCTAGCTAGTTCATATAGTTAATATAGAAATTTTACTAGAAAACATATTCTCTTCGTTTTTATATAGTTTTAAACCGGTCTTTTTATATTTTCAGTATTTTAAACCAAACTTTGGAATTATTTAAAACAATAATAAAATACAATTGTCGTAGGTGTTAACAAACGGTAGCTTGAAAACTAAGTTATATCTTGCTTTTTAAATAAAGTAAGGCTAATAATGTAAGTCATGCATCTCAGATTTTCCATGCATCTATCGCTAAATAAAATTAATAATCAGAATCGGTTGACTCTTTTTGTTGCTTTCTGATAATTGAGATGGCTGTCTCAAATCTTGTTACCTGTGGGTAAATACTTAAAATAGCATTCATCATGTTTTTGATTCTACTATACAATACTGCCAATCAAGCCCGCATGTTTGTAGTCGAGTGGTCGGTGAGATCTAGAAATGTGCAACAATATTCTTTCCGGGGTTTGAGGCTCCCTCGAAACAAAAATCACATTCATGTTGAAAGTATGCGTTTGGGTTTCGCCCAGACATTTTATCTGGTAGTCGTAACATACGATCTGGCTACCCAAGCATTAGTCGAAAAACATTCTAAATTCGAGATAATCAGTATGGTGGTCGTTCAAAGAAAAATTCACTATGTAACACTTTGGTGCGTTTCTACTTAAACTGACCGGATCAACCGATAAATTTTATCAAAAAGAAAAAAAAATATACTGCAATCAAATATATTGAAAGAAAATATAACCCTTAACAAAGATGTCACAAATTAATGAATCTTGTGAGAACTTTTAACGAATAACATGTTACTTAGAAAAAAAAAAAAAAAAAAAAAAAAAAAAAAAAAAAAAAAAAAAAAGAATAACATGTTACTTTACTTGATATTACACCAATTTATCCGAAAACGTGTTGTTGTATTTTATTCATTGATACTGTATATGATTTCTATTTTATCCGACACATTTATACGATCATTCCACGTTATATTTTAAATCAGAACCCACAATAACTACAGTTTGATTTCAGACAGAAACCAAACCTCCGTGCGTGTTATGTGTGTGAAAGCCTTTACTGCTTTTAATTTATAACCTCTCATCAAGCCTCTTTGATTTGATCCTCATTATTATCCGTATGGATAATTGTCTTTCATTCAGTTATTCCGCCAAGTAGATTAGTTAGCCACGTCACGCAACAATGTTTCGTCCTAGTGGGTCACAAGTTGGTTC